AGGGATGCAAAAGGCCACATGAAAGTGGGATCAGTATAAACTCAAATACATTTGCTTTCAAACTTTTTTTTTCATTTTCTTTTTTTTTTTTTTTTGCCTGACCTATTAATTCATTTCTATCAGAGCAGTAAAGAGCTTTGTAAACAAAATGAAAACAACTTCGGTTTCTAATCAGACACTTTATACTTGACATAACCATCAATCTAGGCAGACTACCAAGGAGATTTAGGAACTTCTGCTGTTAATGAAATATCAGTAAATAAGTCACCTCCAGTGAATGCACATCAAACAAATGTGTGACACGTGGCTGACGATCCCGTTCATCTTCCAACGAGGAGGTAAGTACATGAAATAGTTCATGAGCATCCTATTAAGTAGAGGTATAAGATTTAGAGAAAGCAAAACCAGAAGAAATCCACACACACACCAAGAGTACTAATGCTCACATGACTACATCACTGCACTAAGCAATTAAAGGAAAAAATACTGCTTAGAGCCCATCTTACACCTTAATAGCAATCATTTGTACATCCACTGCAATTTTGGCAAAAAGTGTTTTATATGAAGCTGAACTTCATAACATCACACATTATTAATAATATTCTGCCTTGGATAAATTCAAAAGGTACTAAAATCGTTGGAGGAAAAAAAAAATGGATGCACAAATGCCAGCTTCCTCGGGCTTCAATAAAAGCATCATTGAAATCTGTGCTATTTGTTTTGGCTCTGAAACATAAAAGAAGGATACAACCGCATTTTGTGAATGAGATAATTGATTCAGTTCGCTGGCCAGCTGGATTCACTTAGTGGCTGAAAATACTGAAAACAAAGCTTAGAAATCTTGTATGTTACATGCAACTGAATTTGGAAACGTTAGTGAAGTGGAGCTCATCCCTGCAAGCAGGGTGGGACTTTAGCATAGACCCTTAAGGTATAGAGAAGTTAAGGCTGTATGCCTACTGTTTTAATATTACTGGCTCCATTTTACCAAATCTGGCCTAATTAAATATGAGTTTTGAAGCAGACAAGGTTTCCATGACAAATATATACGCAAACTGAAAGCACCATTCATTAATTACAGGATTGTTTTCCTTCACTATTTAAAGCAAACTTTTTGCTACAGCAAAGATTTGACACCCAGTGTTATTAGTACTATAGCTTCAGTTTTTCCTTTATTCCTTATCTGAGCTGTGTGCCAGGCAGTCTAGCTTGAATTTTGTAATCACCTGCTCTTCAAATGATGAGATCTGCCACCTGTAAATTCTTAGAACTTCTAATAAGCAGCTGGCATCCAGGACATCATCTTCCGGTACCTCTTGACAGGATAAAGCTAAAGACATTGAATTTTAAAATGTTAGGAGGTGCCACAAAGAATGGTTAGAACACAGATCTGTTCATTTTAGGATTTATGGTACTTAGGCGTAACTGATTACCGCAAAGTTATTCTTGATTAAGACAGACAGATGATGACAATCAAACTAGAATGTATTAATTAGCATTCTCACCTGACAGTGTCACAGACTGAATACAATTTTCCTTATCTAATACATATGCAAAATGAAAGGTTTCCTCAACTAACTGATACAGGGAATAAATAATATTAACACTGTCTGAAAAGATTCATTTTATCCAACATAAAATGTATTTCATGTAATAGTCTGTATTTTTGACAAAACAGTAGGCTTAGAAAAAATGCTTAAACTGTATTATAAAGCATTGGAAATAAGACTTACAGAGAGTGTTTATGCTAAGTATTTTCTTAGTTTATCACAACGTGAAAAAGTTAAAGTACCTCTGAGGAGATGCAGCAAAGTGAGTGACAAGTATTGATGCTCGGCGGATTGGTTCTGCTCTGTCTTGTATTGTGCTGTAAATTCCTCCAGCCACTTGATGAAAGACGGACATGAAGATAAGCCTTGCAGCAACGAGTTCATAAAACAGGTGTTCCCTAAGTTCAGGAGGCCAGGTACGAGCCCTACAAATACATACGTAAGAGTTTACACCATGAAGCCTAGGAAAACTTTACTATTTTTACTGGCAAGTGTTCTGTTAGGTATTGAAATCACATTAAAATTACATTATTTCAGTTTATTTAGTGCCTGCACCTACTGAAAACTCCCATATACATGACAGTGTGCTATAGCTATATCCATGGTGGTCTCCAAGAGTTTCACCACTCCAAAAGCCTTCCTAAATTTTTGTTTGAAAAATATTCCCTTTCACGATAGGGATAGATTTTTCACTTTTCTGATATGAATAGATTTATATCAACAACGATAAGTTTCAGGATTAGCTGCAGGTTACTGTACAAGCAGGAATTTAAAGCTGTAAACGTTTGGTCCCAACAGATAGAGGGCTGGGAGCCTCAGGGTCACCGCTGTGCCTCGGTGGGGTCTGGGGGGGCCAGGATCAGCACACTGAGCCAAATCCTCACACACACACACACACACAGAATTTCTAGGTTGGAAGAGACCTCAAGATCATCGAGTCCAACCTCTAACCTAACACGAACAGTCCCCACTAAACCATATCGGTAAGCTCTACATCTAAACGTCTTTTGAAGACTTCCAGGGATGGTGACTCCACCACCTCCCTGGGCAGCCCGTTCCAGTGCCTCACAACCCTTTCAGTAAAGAAATTCTTCCTAACATCTAGGGCTGGCTCAGGGCACTTCTGTACAACCCCGCTTAGCCAGAGGCTTCCACTCACCTTGCACTGATGGCAACAAGAAAGTATTTTGCACCCAAACGCCCAAAATAAGATCAAAGCCTTTACCTGCAGCAGTTCAGCAACGAGCTTACCACAGAAGCGATACAAACATACTCCTGATAAGCCAAAATTTTTAAAAATAAACAATTTAAATAGCGAATATTTTACTATAGCAATGGAAGTCCTATTTCTACACCCATTTCTTAAGGCGTTACGTTCCCAAACGCAAGGAAAAGGGCCAAAACCGACTCCTCAGCCGCAGCAAGGAACGAGGAAGCCGAAAAACCGAACCCAGCGCGTCCCCACCTCTCCGGCGCCTCTTCCTCTGGGCGATGGGCCCCCACAGCACGTACACACCGGCGGCCAGCGCGGCCGCCAGCCCCCCGAGCACTCCCCAGCTCCTCATCGCCGCACCTGCAGCGGCCCCACGGAGCGAGCCGTGCCTAACGACGAGGCCTCGGCTCCCTCCCGGTGCCGGTGGAGGCGCCGGGCCCGGGCCTGACCTGGCGGAGCCGCCCCCGGCCCGCGGCTCCCCCTCAGCGCATCCCCCCCGCCGCCGCCACCGCGGAACCCGTCCCCGCGGGCTGTGGGGGAGGCGGACGGCGGGAGGGGTGCGCCGGAAGTGCTGTGGGGGGCCCGTTTAGCGACCGGACCGCCCCTAGCAACGGTTGCTAAGGCCGCGGGAGGGCCTACGCGGCCTGCTTCAGCCCGGCCCGGTCCGGGCTTGGCCCGCGGTCGGAGTTGAGCCCCGCAGCGCTGCCGCCTTGTGTCAGCAGCTGTTGGGATTCGGGGGTCTGTTAGCAAGGGGTGTGTTGGCGTCCGAGCAGCGCTGGCAGCCGCAGATGGCTCTTGAGGGATCTCACCTCGAGGTGGCAGCTGCTGAGCGCGGCTGTGGGGCTGCTGCTGCTGCTCGCCCTGCAAAGGAATCCGGCCGGCCAAGGGTAGCCAAGGGCCTGCTCGGTGCTCCTCGGGTGCCTGGCGGTTCTCCAGGTGTGACCTGTGCTGTGACAGAAGGACAAATAAATAAACTGACAAACTGACAGAAGGGCAAATAAATAAATAAATTGACAGAAGGACAAATCACATTGAGAGGACCAAATCTCACACCCTTAACTTACTGGGAAATTGGACCTTATTTAGTAATAATAATTATTATTATTATTACTAAATAATAATTAATAATTGTTTTCAGAATACAGCAACTGTATTCTGTTTGCTGTATTCTGAAAACAAAGTTAGTGCTTCTATCCAGTGCGTTTCTCTCTATTCAAAAAATGCTGTTTTCTACCAAGCTTCTGGGAGAAGCTACCAAAATTTCAGTGAACACACATTCACAGGCAGCTTTGTGGATAAATCCTGGCCTGGCACAGTCAGGCAGCTGTGCTGAGGCTGTTCTGAACAAGGCTTGTGATGAGTGCTTCCCTCTGGAAGCTTCGGTCCAGGAACCCCTCCCATTGTAGACCTAATCTACAGTATTTTACCCAGTGAAACAGAACAGGCTTCTTAGATCATACAAAGCACTGAACTATGGTTCCTTTAACACCTATTTTCTGAAGAGGAAACACAAATCTTGAAAATCAGGAATGTGTTGGTAGACCAGTTTTATCTACTGGAGCCTTTTATTTTTTAATTGTTATGGGCCTGGTTGCCTTTCATTCCAAATAAACTGCTGAGCGCCTCTGTGGTAACAAACGGCTGGGATTGTGCTGTTCCTCACCCCAGTCACATCACCACCCAAATCAAAGACAGGTGAAAAGGTGCAAAACTGAAGAGTCATGTCATTTGTGCAAATTTGTGTCTGGGAAGGACAAGCAGAAAATGGCAAGGGAGGTGACAGAATTTGGAGAATCCAGATCTAGGCAGAAATCACACAGGAGGCCACGGGAGATGTGCAGTTACCTGCAGTGGAACCGAGACCCTTGTGTAGGAACCAGGACTCCAGGGCTAGGCACAAATATGTCATTAAACAATTCTCTTGGTATTTTTAAGGAAGCTGAAACTCTAGCTAGATCAATTGTGAGTCCTTTCCTGTAAATGCTACATGCTGCTAACATTTTCAGTATTTAGTGTCACAAACTAAATCTGTGTGACAGTTGAACAGCTCTCATTCACAAACTGAGGCGTGCTTGGTTTGCCATAGCCAGGCCAAGCTTTTGGCTTCATCAGGTGTTCCTTGTCAGGAATTTTTGCACCTTCTTTCTCACTGTAGTGCTTTTCACCTGTCTTCATTTGACTTTACTGTGTTGATTTCAGGCCATTTCTCCAATTTGCCAAATGTATTTTACATTTTAACCATGCCAGAAGCCTTTTGGTCCTCTTCCTGGCATATCTTTCCTCTTGATTTTTTCCTGCAGGCTTTTCCCTAGAAAGGATTCTCCTGTAAGTGCAGGCCTAAGCACAGGTCAATTTTCCCTTCCGATTGAAGGAAAAGGTCTACAGGGATGAAAATTCCAGGTAGATAAGTGTGGTTTTTTACACAGTGATCACATTCTGAGCCTGAGGGGTGCACACTGGGAACCCCCTGTATGGGACCGGTCCCCGAGCATCTCCAGCAGGCTCAGTAACCATGTGGGGGCTTCTCTGCTGAGCCCCTCACCAACGGGACAGTTTTGCATCCCACCTGCCAGTGCTGGGAGCTCGGGGAAGACCCTCCACAGCCCTCCGGGAGCAGCAGCCCACGGGGAAGCCACCTCCACGGTGCCCACTTCATTTTCAGGGGCAAGCATTGCCCGCAGCAGCACGGCACGGCACGGGGAGGGAGTCGCTGCTGCCTGCCGCCTCTACCCACCGTGCCGTGCCGTTCCAAGCCGTGCCACGCCGTGCTGTGCTGCTCTGAGCCGTGCCACGCTGTGCCACGCCGTGCTATTCCCAACCGTGCCGTGCCGTGGCCAGCCGCTCGGTGCGGGCTGCCGGAGCTGTCCAGCCGCCCGCGCTTGCTTGCCCGCAGCTCCAGCCATCCCCGCCATGCGAGAGCGATGAGAGCAGCTCCTCCAAACGCAGCCCGGCAATGGAGGATGATTTATTCCAGCTGAGACAGCTGCCGTAAGTAGCACCGGTAGGGGAGAGCGGGGATGCGCGGGGTTTCTGCTCAACGGGCTGCGGGGATGGTGTGCATCCTGGGGATTTTGCAGGGAATTATTTCGGGGAAGTGTCTTAGGCCCCGGGAAGCAGGCCATTTTCCTTGTGTAGCTGCCTGGGTTCAGCATCCTGGGGGCACGCAGGCAGGGGTCGGTTTGTTATATAAATTCACTTCATTTTAATCCTTGCACGAACTTGATGGCTGGTAGAAATAAGGAGGGGTGGAATAAAACCCTGCAAGTGCCAGAAGATTTTCTGCGAGGAAACACTGCTATTGCATTTGCAAGGTGGATTGCATCTGTAAATAATGTTGTGCTAGGGAAGGCATCTTCCTCGGCTTCCTGCTTCGTGCAGTGAACTGATTGCAGATTGCAACCTTTTTTTTTGCAAAGCTGTGTGTGCAGTGAGTATCATTAATACTTGCTAACTGTGTGTTTCAGGGAAGCAGACGCTGCTGCACAGGGAAAATGCTGTTGTTTATGACAAACTCCTTGCTGTTGGGATGTGGTTGTTAGATCTGTGCAAGAAGGTGATAAAAGCGCTGCTGCCTTTTAACAGCAGGATTTCCTTTCCTTTTCATGAGTTCAAAATGCTTTCTTTCAAAATAAGTGCATTTCTCCTAATGCTCCATTATCGTGTGGTTTGAAACACATTCCTGTTTGTAAACCATTGAGTCTGCACGGCAGGGAATGAATGTTTAAAGTTGATTTTAAATATTAATGAGCTCATGTCAATGACAGAACAAACTGTCCCATAACATTTCTAATAAGTTGGGAAAATGGACTTGAACTCCTGGTATTTTCAAATACTGAGTTCAGTTGCATTCAGCTTGTAAGTAAAAAGAATGAGACATGATTTCATTAGGCCATTTTTCCCATTTTTTTTTTCTTTTTAAACAAAGCTCAGAAAAATGTTCTAAAGTACTTTTCAATGTAGGTATAATTAGATTTATTCCATACTGTAAGATCTTGCAGACAAATGCCTCTCACTGAGATGTCTCAGCTGTGAAAAAATTAGGAAGTACGGAACAGTGAATGTCTCTGTGTGTTTTTCTTCGTTTGTGTCAGTTTGCTTCATAGGTTCTTAAGTGAAAACCATTTTCTTTTATTTGCTGTGATGAGGAAGGTGGCCAGGGAGCTCTCTACTCAGATTGCCACTGAAGTATTTACGATTTTTAGATCAGTCACTGTACCTTTGTACAGCATCTGGAACCATCGTCTCCAAAATGGTCAGTTCTGAAAGTCTACTTGAACAAATATTACACAGTATGAAACAGTAACACAGGGGTTTTGTGGTTTTGTGATCAGGTACTTTATGGTCAGAAAGGCTTTTATTAGTGTAAAAAGTTTTGCTTGTGGCTTGCTAGAGCACTGAATAGTTGCCAGTATTGATGGTATGAATGAGATTCAGTCATAATCCCCTGGAGTAATGACACTTCAGACCTCCTGAAATCTGGAAAAAATGTGTCCATATGCTTCAGTGGGCTTTGCATCAGGCTTTGGGACTACTAAAATTATAGTAAATAAATAAACTAAGAACCTGGACTTGGGGAAGTTTCATGATTCTGTTCATCTTTTCTTATAACTGAGTGAAGAATGCTCCCAAACTGAGAGAATTCTTGGTCAGTTTAGTTTTCTTGTTCATTTTGAAGAGGCCTAGAGTTTTGTTCTGTGTGCTTATGTTTAAGACCTTCAAATGTTACCCTAGGAAACAAAATTTGTCAATCTGCTGTTTGTCTGCCAAGAAACAAAGGTGAAAGAAAAGCTTTTTGTGTCCTGCTGCAGCTGAGAACATTACTGAAGTAGTACAATGACTATTTACCCTGTACGTATCTTGGGATGCCCTCTGTACTTGGCCAAAAAAACAGTCCCAAAACATCTCAACAGCCTGCAAATCAAATGTTTGTGAGTGATAACCTCACAAAATGATCTCTGTGCTTCTGTCTCCAGGATGTTGCCAGAATATCATTGGTGAGCATGTGCAATTCCCCAGGCGGGATGTGGTCAGGGAAATTAGGTGCCAGGACTTTGAAAAAAAATATATGTATGTTCTGGATCCCTCCACTATATGGTTCTACAACAGAGAATAACCAAAGGGCTGGTTGTGGCCAGGACTCCTTTATTTGCAGACCCCATGGGTGACTGAGATATTCGTTCCTCCATCCTCTTGGTCACCACTGGACCAAAATCAATTTACTGGAGTTTTGTAGATTGCCCATCAGTTTGCCCTTATATTAAGTATTGACTGTGTCATCAACCCTTGTAAGAGAAAATAAGATTGCCAAATATACAAAGCCTTTTAAATAACCTATACAAATGTCGTACATGCATGTCAGTTTGCTGCAGCTGCAGCTGGCAAGGATGCTGATAGTTTAGTTTTGGCAACATTTAAGCCAAAGGATTAAACTGAAATTCAAGAGGCTCTTTGCTAATCCTTATCGTAGCATTAAAACACTGAGGTGTTGGAAGTCAGGAGAGGCAGTAGCAAGGCTACCTTAATCCATTTCCAGAAAAATGCTTCAATGAGGTCCAAGAAATTGCTGTTTGCCGGGGTGAAAAAACTACACTGATGTTGCAGGTAGAGTGAAGGAGGACTGAGGAGTGTGTTACACCAGATATGGTAGATCTGTTTCAAAATCTTTGTTTCATCTCATGAAAGCTACATGATGGAGAATGACCCTACTCCATATTACATGAAGCATTGCCCAAAATCACTCTTCACCAAAATGTGAAAGTTGTGGCAGTTGAGCAAAAAAGTTCTGTTTTCGTGTCTTGTTCTCTCCTTGGTCTCACTGCAGAGATTAGCCAATTCCCACTCACCTGGTGCCAGAAATGATATAAAATATGGGCAGTTGTGAGCATGGCACTCACATGGCAATCAATATGTCGTATGCCACAGCTGTAACTGTCAGGCTGGTACACCCTTCAGTCCTAATTTGGTCTTAGTGAAAGAAGAAATATTACTTTCTTATTCTGTCGCACCTCGCTACGGATTCAAAAATGCACAGATGAACCAAGTATTGGAAATCAAATAGTTTCTTAAAACACAGGTATTTAATTAATACACGATATTGAAGACTTAAGTTCAAGACAAGATGAAAGCAATCATATTTATAGTCACAGAATCATCACCATGCATTTCATTGCATGTTTACAATATATATATTATTATAACTTTATATATTACTATGATGACATCCTATTTGTACAAAAATGATAACGATATCCCATAGCAGTGTGCCTCTGCAGTTTTTCCAATGATAGTAGCAACCAGCAGGTTACCATATTTAAGAGCAGATGCAAATAAAAGTCGCAGCATTCTCTGTGACTGTGAAATGGAGACAGGAGGGTGGTGGGAAAGCTGCCAGCTATTTGACCAAGTAGTCCTTCAAGACTAACCAAACACAGCTTCAACCTGGAAAAGACCCAGCAAAGTGTTAATCCTCATTTCTGTGTTCTCAGGGTGGTCAAGTTTCGCCGCACTGGGGAAAGTGCAAGGTCAGAAGAGGATGCCATTTCAGGAGAACATGAAATTCAGATTGAGGGTGTTCGGACAGAGCTAGAGGCTGTCGAGCTAGAGGATGGAGCTGCAGTGCCAAAAGAATTTGCCAACCCAACTGATGGTGAGCACGTTTCTTGTTTTCCTTCACGGAAAAAAAGTGTGGCCTCCTCACATCAGCCAGGATGAATACACTGGGTTTAGAGAAGCTAAGGATCCCCTGATCATAAAAGGAAACAATAACGGGTAAATTAGGTTGTACCTGAAAATGATGATTTAGAATGATGATTTCTTTGTGTTTGATTCTATATTACCAGTACTAGACCCTTTTAAGGAGCTGTATATCCAGTTGTCACCACTGATTTCAGATAGGCAGCTTGCTAAAGTTTCCTTTAAAATTGATTAGTACTCTGAAATCATCTCCAAGTTTACTGGAACAGTTACACGTGGCTCAACTGAGCGGGAAACCTCTGTGGTGTCCCTGTCTGCCACTTGCCTAGAGGACAAGAGGGACAGAATAAATTTCCATCCCAGCCTCTGCTTTCTGCCTAGGAAAAAAGTGCTGACTGCCCTGAAGGTAACACCACTTCAGAAGGCATGAGAAGTGCTGGTTTAGTCTTAGCACAAGACATACTCAAATTTTCTAGGATGGCTGTTTTCCCAGAATTTTATTTATTAACGTATTGATGCAATAGGAAGCCAGAATAGCATGGAGTGAGTTGGATGAGTTTCTTGAAAGACTCAGTGCATCAATGCAAGTCTGCAGATATATGTAGAATATTTCAGTTGGCACACTACCCAAAAAAGTGCAAGCGATGCAGCCTGCCAGTACAGTGAGCTTCAGTGCCAACACATCAAATGCCTGGGTTGCAGTCACAGACTCAGGTCCTGTGACATCTCTGCTTTATCAGTTGGGTTTTGTTTGATTTCCTTTTGGTTTGTGTTTGGTCTTTTGTTTTGTGAGGATGTCCAACTCTTAGCTAGACAAAGCTTTTCTGTGGCAAATGTACTTTATGAGCTGCTGGAAGTGTTAAATCCTTGAAACTTAAACTGATTAAAACAACCTGAAAATCAAAATTTGGTTGTATTTTTCATTTTGCATTTGAGCAAAGGAATTTGATATATCTTAGCCTCTTCAGATAGCACAAAATAATGAGGTCATGGCAATGTGGGAAACAACCATCAGCATTTGTAACAAAACTGTTTTAAGATTTAGATGTCTTGGGAAAATTCTTCATTCAAATAATTACAGTTTGACTCTCAATTCAACAAAATATTCTTCTGCACTTTCCATCTCTTGTATAGTATTATATATACTTATATATATATCGTATATATATTATATATACTTATATATATCTTTTATAGTGTTATATATACTTCTCAGCAGAGGAAGTTGCAAGTGAGTGGCTGGTGGAGTCACTCTTGGTAGTAGTAAGCTGAAAATATACTGAAGTCATTGGTGCTACACTGATTTACTTCTATGTGAATAAAATATTTTATGAATATTTAAGATTATCTTGGCTTTAGCACAATTTCTGAAAAAACATAGAGATTTTCCTGGGTAAGATTTGTATAAAAGCTAGGTAGCTCTGCTATTTATTTTAAACCTAAGCAGATTACCCAATTAATAAGTAATTACATTGACAGAAAATGCTGTGTCAAGGGGTATGTCTTACTAGGAAAGGAATACACTTCTGCACTAGAATTGTTTTCTTTCTAGATACTTTCATGGTGGAAGATGCGGTGGAAGCCATTGGATTTGGGAAGTTCCAGTGGAAGCTCTCTATCATTACTGGATTGGCATGGGCAAGTAATTTTTATGAAGGTCAATTGCATGATCACTAGTTAGAGTATCAAAGTGATTTCAAATTCTGTACACGTTCTCTGTAGACGAAGAAATCTCTAAACAGATAGTTGTGCAATGAAGAGTGTTACCTAAAATTCTAAAATCACAGCTGGACTCAAACTTGTTATGTAGAGGTAACGAGTGGCTGATTGGTTTCTCTGTTGCTGAAGTTGTTGTAAGTCAGGGTTTGAAAAATCATTTTGATTCTCTACTTCAAATACTTGTTTCAAATGAAAAGTGTGCTAGGCTATTCCTACAGAGACAGATCTCAGTCTTCAGTCTGTGATTTTACCACATTTCATCCCATTAGCTACATTCTCTGCTTCCTATATTAGTCATCATTATTGTTCTTGTAGTTTCTGTTTCAGGTGAACAGCGAGCCAGTACTCGTAGTTTTAACTTTGGTATCAAGAACAGGAAGACAGGCTTTGTTTTCACTTGTCTGCTATTTCTGAAGTGGTATTTGTTACGTTTACTGTGGTATATTTAGGGTAATAATACCACAAGCCTGTATTTACTGGCTATCGTCTACATGTAAGGTTGCAGTCTGCCATGGTTCACATCCTCAGTCAGTAGAGGAATTTGTACATCCACTGTACCTTGCAAACATAACTGTTTTATTTCACCTGCAGAGTGGAAATCGCATGAGCAGAACCAAAGTTAATTTCAAGATGATGGATTATGAACTGCTATGTCAATTGAATTTTCAGTCAGTTATTTGTTCTTATTTCTTTTTTACCTTTCTAGATGGCAGATGCTATGGAAATGATGATTTTAAGTATCCTAGCTCCTCAGCTTCATTGTGAGTGGCGATTACCAAGCTGGCAGGTTGCATTGCTCACATCGGTAGGAAAAATAACTGACAGCTCCTGTATTCTGTAAGGTTTTTCCACTCATTGTTCAGATATTATGCTTTAGATCCCAAAGTTGACTCTGCTCATCACCTTTGGAAGTTGTGTTTGGATTAAAAGAAATAGGATTCTTTATTAAAACCAGAGCTTGAGGAAGAAACTTAGGGGGAACTGAGGAAAATTTACAAGTTTCAGTTTCAAAGTTTCATGTGATCTCTAGGAAAATATATGAAGTGACTCGGATTCATCCTAAAACTCAAACCATTTAACTAATTTAAAAAATAAAATTGTAAGTTTTGGCCATCTTTCCTGAAAATCCTTTTCACTGTATGTAGTTTCCCTTGTACATGGCCAGACTGGGAGCCATAAGGGAAAGAGCAAGCAGTCACTTTTCAAAGTGGATCATCCAGTGATCTTTGCAAGCAAAGCTCTTATAATACCACCTCCAAGAATGGGGCTATGATGTTGGAAACATGTAATGCCTTTGGAGATAAGAAAAAATTGTTTGGGGAACCTATTCTCAGCATATGCCTCTGTTGTGTTGTGTGCACTTTAACTCCTGCAACATTTCTTTTTCCTGTAGATTTGATACTATTTGTGTTTTTGTGTAAATTGATCAAAATATTCATTAAATTTAAATAAGTTAAAGTCATGGGGGGCCTTTAATTGTGAAGCTGTGTTTTCTTTGCTGACATACAAAAATTTTCACTTGTCTTGTTGTTAAGGGGAAGATTTTTTTCTTTTTTTTTTTTTTTCATAGGTTGTGTTTGTGGGAATGATGTCCAGTTCCACCCTCTGGGGAAACATTTCAGATCAGTATGGGAGGAAAACAGTAAGTCTTCAGCTCTTACTGAAATACATTCAAGTATTGCTGCAGTGTGAGTGTTCTAGTGCGTGATGTTCACTAATCATTTAAATGGATTCTTTGTACAAGTAGAGGAACTTTGTGCTCTGTTTGTGAATGGGCACATATATGCATCACTTACATCAGGTAACTTGTTGTGGTACCACCCGTGCCACCTTTCTCCAGTCATTAGGAAACCTGTAGCTATTGGGCTTACAGAAATAACATTGGAACTTTCTGGGTTTGAAGCTCTAGTTTACATATTGTTAATTTGTGGAACAGCAGAGACTTTTCCTTTTGCTTGTTTGTTAAATACAGGGGCTAAAGATCAGTGTGCTATGGACACTCTATTATGGGATCCTCAGTGGTTTTGCACCGGTGTACAGCTGGATCTTGGTGCTGAGGGGCCTGGTGGGCTTTGGCATTGGAGGAGTGCCTCAGTCGTAAGTAAATATTCACAAGTTCAAATTTCTCTTTTCTATCTTCTTTGGTTGATGTTTTTAAAAATGCTTGTATCAAATTGAAGACATTCCACAGTTTCACTGTCCCAAGCTCATTTTTCTTTTAGTATTCGTAACTAATACATTTAACCCCAAGAAGGCTTTGAAGATATCTAATACATCACTGAAGCGAATCAGATTTACAAAGACTTCCATGTGAACGAGCTGGCTACTTAAAAGTAATACGTTGTGTGCCCTGAGACCTGTTAAGCTTCTCTCATTCCCTCAGGTAAACTGTGGTGAAAATGAGAGGCCCAGGTAGCCCTCCTAGAAGTGGATAAAACACAGCAGACAGTGTTTGGTAGCTGTGCCCAAACACTGCATTGCCAGCTTGTGTTGGGGAATTCAGTAAGGGATGATGTGGACTTGTTGCAATACACTAGGAGTTAGAACGAAGGGGTAGAACGAAGCCCTGACTACTGTTGTTTTTTTAGAAGAACTCCAGATTATCATTCAATCATAGCCTGATCTTTTGGTTCTGAACCTGAACTGGAATTCCAAACTCACATCATCCAACCCTGGAGCAGTTGAGGTATTTTAATGGCTCAGACACATTTCTAACACGAAAGCAGCATCAGGATATTTCTCTATTACTTCATTCCGTTCACTTAAGAGGAGGATTTCTAAATTTTCCACTTTAAATAAATAAATTTGCTCTTGGCTTTTAATTATAAATGGAAATGGATGAGTATATCTATTCTCTCTCCGTGTAGTCTTTTATCCTTATTAATAATTGATATTTTGCCCCATGGAGGTGCTATTTCGGAGTAGTCAGAGCCTAAGTTTGATTGATGGCTCATAGACTTCTTCACAAGGCAGGTCAATATCCTGTCTTTTCTACTGCCATTCCCAGATAAAAGATTCAGAGCTGAGATGGAGCATCATAGTATTATTAATTTTCTTTTTCTGCTCACATGACCTCTTTTAGAAGCTGCACAAAGCATAATGGGTGTGTAAAAAAGGAAAGTTCTTAGCCTGCCGTGTATCAACCAGCAGTGAGGCAGTTTCTGCCATGCAGTTCCAACTGAGCACAACTGGAATGAAGCAGGAGAACAACAAAGACAAAGTGTCAGAGTTAATAATGCCTTGTACTGCAAACACGTATTAGTGTTGTTCCACAGAGCCTCAGTGGAATGGCTGCAGCTCAGCTAATGACATTTTACAGAGGGGTGGATAAAACACAAAGGCAACATGACTTAATGAGAGACAAAGAAGAGATGGTTACAGAACTCAGATTGCATTCCATTGCTGCTGAGCCTTTTTCTTGCTCTTACTATAACAGTGATACCTTTGACAAAAAGAATAAATATATAAGTAACGGGAGAAATAGCTCCTATCTAATATTAAGTAGGCTGTATAACTTTGGAAGTGAGTAGCTGAATTTCAGTGGAATGACGTAGGCATCCTTATCATTGTATTGTTGTATTCTACAATGGATATGAGAGAGAATTTTTGTGAAAGGTGCTATTAAAAAGAATGCATCCAGCAGTAATAAATTACCTCCTCTTGGAATCTTCTGTGAGATATTATGTAACCCTGTGGATGATCATTCACTTTTCCGGCTTCTAGTCTTGCAAGGATGTGTTGTATTCTCTAAAGAGAATAATTCTTTATAGCATTATTTTTTCTCTGATTCCTGCTGTGATATACAGGGAACTGCTCTACATTTCATGACGTGATTCTTGTTCCTTTTCCTCTTAATTACTGATTTAATAGCGTACTTTGATGAACCAAATTCTGGGAAGTTAGAGATCAATCCACCATTTCTCAAGTGAGAAGGAATTTTGCCACAAGCATTAAAGAAAGCCTAAGGAGTTTACAGGCAGGAACAGGATGAGTCAGTGGAATGCAAATAGAGTAGGAGCAAAGTACTACAAGTCTTTCCAGACTGAAGGGGACAAGAGAGCCTCAGCTGGCTGCTGGCCCTGGGGTTCCATCCACAGCAAATACTCATGCAGAAGCTGTACCATTACTTCTTGGCACAGTTATGAAACAACTCTGCAAAGTTAGACGATTTCTTTTTGAATTCCCATGATAAAAGAATGCAAATTATTTACCAGTGTTATACGTTAAGTATTGTTATTGTATACCAGTAACACAATCAGATCTAGAAAGTATTTATCTCTTAGAAAATTGAAACCTGGCAGAGTAGGCCAATGTGAAATTCACTGAGCCAGTTGTAATGCCCTGAAGAAATACTTTACCTAGCAGGCATCTGTGTTGACTGCTGATGGACCACACTGAAAATACAGGCATCATGCCTGTCCCAGCCCAAAGCAATGGTAGGAAAACATGCTCCAAGAACTGCTACATTTAGCCAACAACTATAGCGTCAGAAAGTCACATGAACAGAGCAAATTTTGTCCTCTCTTGCAATGATGAACTAAAAAAGATTGTTTTGTTGTAGCAAGTGGAGCCTGAACACTGTCCACAGTCTTGGTGGCTCTGAAGACCATTGTGGGTTTGGTGATTTTAATAAAAAACAAGTGTGTTGTCTGAACATCTCTGGATGTGCTAACGTAACATTTTTCTCAATGTTCACTCTTTACAGGGTAACCTTATATGCTGAATTCCTTCCAATGAAAGCCAGAGCAAAATGCATTTTATTAATAGAGGTGAGCAGTGTAGCTATATGTACTGGTCTGGAGGGGGACAAATTCTGCTGTTGCTTACATCCATTCAGTTAGTGTGGAACTGAGGTTAACCTCATACACTAAATCCAGTTCAGGTCTGAAAGCAGCATACTGCATTTTTGTAAGGGTTTGCACCTGTTGCTCGTCTGCCTTTTTGCAAATGAACATGCATCCAGTGCTGCATAAGTTATTGTTGTGCTCCGAGCTAATGTGAGCTGCCTCGTGAAGATCCAGATTAGGAGGGTTTGCATTTTTACTCCTCAATACCATGAGGATATGTGCCTGAAATCTCCTTTTCTCGTATTTCTGAGGTGAATACTCACATGGAGTGAGCTAAGACAAGCCTGCATCCTGTTCTCCAGCACTTAAGACTAGTGGTCCCAGAACTAGTGCCAAGCACCCAGCACTTCTAAGGGTAGCATGAAGAAAGCCCTTTGGGTATGACCTAATGCCATGGTGAAATTAATCTACAGCTCGCTACTGGATAACAGAGAACTGACTGTTCAGTAAATTGAGAGCTAAATTCAGCTCTCCAGACTCACTCCAAATATATCAAAGTCACAGAGCGCAGAATTCTGCCTTATAAATACTTTAAGGCAATATTTGCAGCCCTTGAACGGATGGTTGAAGGGTGCCAGTGCTGAGCAGAGAACAGTACTGTTACTTGTCTGCATCAGTCCATTCAGAAGGAGTATCCTCAAGAAAAATACTAAATCCAAACAGCTTCTCAAATACAAAATCAGTTTTCTAAGGTAACTGCTGGCTAATCCTACTTTCACGGTTTGGCTACCTCAGAGCAACCCTGGGTTAGAAATACATTCTGAGCATTAAATAGTGAGCTAACAGGAAAAGGAAACTAGTCCTTGTTCAGATTCATAATCCAAAGGAGAATAACCATGCATGGCTAAGATTTGCAAGACGATGCCAGCTCCATTACTTGCCAGGAAGCTATCAATTCCTTCTTTCATTTGCAGGACAAACTCTGTGGCTTTGGTAGCTTGGTTTTGTAAAGGAAAACAAATACCATAAATCTCATAGTGATAGGCGGGAATAATACCCAGAGACAGATGTTAATAGTTATTTTGCTTAAGAAGCACAATGTGATGAGTCCTTTCATGATGAGAAGCTACCTACAGTTAATCATGAGTGTCTAAAGAGAGTCGATGCTAGATTTTCAGAACTGAGCTTCTGCAACATGTAAACAAATCCCCTTAAATGTCTGGGTTTCTGTTGAATACAGTGGTGCATATTTGAAATGTCTCTGGCATTTCTCTCTCCAGCTGTCCCATGAGAGCACATTTTAGAATGCTACAAAGAATGCCTTAATAACATTCTCATTCTCATTTCTGACTGTTTCTTTTCCCTTTGGCAGGTCTTTTGGGCTATTGGGACCGTGTTTGAAGTCCTCCTGGCAGTGTTGGTGATGCCCACTCTTGGATGGCGGTGGCTTCTCATTCTTTCTGCCCTTCCACTTTTGCTCTTTGCTGTCCTATGTTTTGTAGGTATTTTTCTAAAGATGTGTACTCTGATTGAAGGGTATTGTGACAGCTTTTGGGCTTTAAGTTGATGTATTTGTGAAACATCTGAAATAACGACAAAAATTCCATTGTTTCAGCAGAGTACTAGTAACAACAGTGCAGTGAGAACTGTGTTTATGTGACTGTAATTGCTAGAGGACAATGGTGGGCTGGAATTTATGAACCCAAATCAGGCTTGGCAATCTCTTTCCAATTTAATGAGTTTGTTTCAAGTCATTTCAATGGAATCAACATTTTATTAAAATCTGTTGCTGTTTCCCTGACTGCTCTTTAGATTCTTAAATTATTTTACCAAAACTCATAACTTCTGTAATTAATGTCCATCCAAAAAACTGACCCAAGCCAGGGGTAAAATCTGCATAGTGCAGGTTCTTAAATAAGGATGTATTTAAGTTAAACCTGAGCTTCAGTGTGCTATTAGGTAATATGTCTGCCATTCATTCAGTCTTCTCAAACATGTATACCCTTGTCAGGTTGTTTAGCAGCTCTTATTATTCCTTAGTCGCTGTCATTGTTTTTCAGGAATACCTCCAAACAGTTATACAAGTGCTAACATGCACTGTTTTTAAAAGGAGCTTAAAAATGCAAATTTTGTAATGCCTAGAGCATCTTGTTATCTGCCCTGGATGCTCTGCCTTTCCCACTGAGAAAATATAATGCCAAGATCCTGCAAAAATGTCTAATATTTCTCAAGAATGAAAATGAGGCAACAGAAGGGAAAGATTTAGGCTGGAGTTCTGACTTTATGGTGAAAGTGCTGTTTTGCAGTTTCTTAAAGCCTAATAAGGAACTTGACCTTTGACACAAAGATGTTTTTCTGATTTGTTAAAGATTGGTTCTGTGATCCCTTCTTATGTTAGTAGTCTGCTGGAGGCACGGAGATTTCCCACTGTAAACCCACAGAGAAAGTCCCCAGTTTGTGTACTGCTGTGTTTTTGACATCTTTGTGCATGTGATGTGCTTTGCTCTGCTAGTGGCTGCCAGAAAGTGCCAGGTATGATGTATTATCTGGAAATCAAGAAAAAGCAATTGCCACTTTAAAGCGGATAGCAACAGAAAATGGAGCTCCGATGCCCTTGGGAAAATTAATTATTTCCAGACAGGTAGGTACAGGTAACAGACACCTTAATGATGTGGGATGTAGTGAAACTGTGCTACAGTCATGTGTATTTTTATAAGCAAATAATCAATGTTAAATTTAATTTTGATGTCTCAACCACTAATAAAACATGAGAGATGGTCACGTATGTCTATTCCACAGTGAGGAAGACTTAGCCTTTACTAACTACATTTTTATTTACATGAAAATCCCAAAAGTCAAAAGGACCTTCAAAATGTTATTTCGTCTCTCTTTAAGACCCTTCTGTTAAAGAAGATCAGATCTCATGACTGTAGGAGAGCTCAGATCAAAATTCCCAGACCTAAACTCATGAGGCAAGGTGGAATTGGACCCTTTAGCTGTAGCTCATTTTGAATCTAATCCTGGTTTTGTGGAGTTGGAAAGCTACAAGCTCCTATTCAGTCCTAACGCATGGAATAATTCAAGTTGTTATTTCTGAGCTGTATTATATTACTGTGTGAATTGCACTGGATTTCTTTTCTCTTTAGTTTTATATGGCCAACTTTTCAGCACCCCTGTCAACATACAAAGTGGCTCTGCGTTTACAGAACAAAGAGCAGGCTTTTATAGGAAAAGAAAGTTACAAGAAAAGAAAGTTAGCCAGCAATCAGGGACAGCAGAGGGAGACCCATAGGTTTGAACAACAGCAAAATTGTAGAGCTAGGCAGGAGCCTGTTGGTAATGATCTTGCTAATTGGAAATACAGGTTTGATTTGCTGTGGTCTGCATCAGTGACGACTGGAGATCCTGTGCCTTTCACAAATGCTTGGTTCAGTTAGGGTAATTTTGATGGGCTGTGCAAGTTTTTGATGGTCTGCGAGTTTTGGAAGATTCTGTTTTCAGGGTGGGGTGGGAAAGCACTTTTCCTTAACCACAAGTTTATGTGCTGAGCCTGCCTGTCTGTCTGTCTAAGAAACACTCAGTTTAAAAGGGGTCTGCTTGCCGGAGGGCTGCTTATAGTTCCGTGGGACCTCACCCTAGATCAGAAGTCCTGATGGGCTGTACTAATTTACCAGAGCTGACTGTGGGCCACATGAATCATGTGTCAGCTGAGGACTGGCAAAGTTCTGCTCTACCTCCTTCCAGCCTCTCCTTGTTCAGATAGATTCTCACCTCCCTTGTGAAGCAGGAGCCTGCCCTGTGCATGAACTGTTTTGATAATGGTGTGTTCCCAGAGAATTCCACTTAGCAGAGGATTCCAGCTTCAGTGTGGCTCCTCCAACCTGAAAAACCCCAAGCTGAAATAGAACACTTGTCCTGAGCTGTAGTACATCATACTTTGTGTTATGTTATCCCTTGCTACCATACGTCCTCCAGTCCAGGACCAGTGAGTACCACGATTGTCTGACTTCCATTTATTTTCAACAGGAAGACCGAGGAAAAATGAGGGACCTTTTTACACCACATTTTAGATGGACCACGTTGTTACTCTGGTTTATATGGTAAGAGAAAATATAAATGGCTCAGTGCCAGCACAATTCTAAATAGCTTTTGATGGAGGTATTTTATAGTATCACTGAAATACAACAGCTTCCTCCTCCTCTAAATAAATAAATAAATAAGTAAGTAAATGTATTGATTTGTAATTTAGTAAACCACCCAGTCACTAGCATTCTAGATCTAATTGCCCTTTCATTTTCTAAATGCTGATAGGAAATAGCTTTGAGGTAGTACTTAGCAGAAGTCCTCACACAGTGAGTTCAGTTTTGATTTGTGTTGTTTGCTATAGGTTTGGTCAGCTGAAACTTCCTCTCTTATTTTCTTCCTTGCAGGTTTTCCAATGCTTTTTCATATTATGGGTTAGTTTTATTAACTACAGAGTTCTTCCAAGCAGGAGACGTCTGCAGCAGTGAGTACTAGTCCATCTCTTCTTTTTAAATATGCCCTGCAAAGCAATGGAATGTCTTTTATTGGCTCACTTTCTGCTGTTAGTTTGAAAAGGACTGTGGATGCCAGTCTGAATTTTAAGGCATCAAAACTGTTCAGTTCCAGCTGTATCTTCTGGGCAGAATATACCTGCTGTTCAGCAGGGTTTCTTCCATACTTCTGTCAGTTTCAGCAGTAAGAATTGTGAGGACATAGCAGGAGTAAAGGAAGATGAGTGGAGAAGAGATTACTTAAATTATGTTCTTTTTTTTTTTCTCCCACAGTTTCCAGTAGAAGGAAAGAAGTTAAAGCAAAGTGCAGCCTGAGCTGTGAGTATCTGACAGAGGAAGACTACACTGATCTGCTCTGGACAACTCTGTCAGAATTCCCTGGTAAGTGGCGATAAGAAGCATCAGTTCTTCACTGCCAACATGAGCAGAATGGACTCTGGTACAGCAATGCAATGGGCTCTTCTGTCTGGCCTAATATCTGTGTATTTTCAGCTCGGACAGCTTGATATATGCATTACACACAGTAGCTGTAGCTCTCTTCACTGTCCATGTGATCTCGGCAGATAAAATCACTTGTAATTGCTTTGTGAAGCTATAGTGGCCTGTCTCATTGTGGATTCTATCCAAGCAACACATTACGCATTCAGGGGAAGAGTAACAATTAAATCAAAGGGGCAGGATTGCTTGAACTTTTATCCATAAATGACTATCCAGAACTATTTTAAAGGGATCATGGGTATAGTGAATCAATGGAGGACTTGCTTCCTAAAGCTCTGTGTCCAGCATTAGTCATGATTTTTAGTCAGTTTCAAATGAATTTCGATGAACAGCTTGACACAGGACAACCAAGATAGTATATGAGAGCCACTGTTTGTTCACATGTAGAAGATGATCTCTCAGTATTAATCTGTTTGAAGTAATACTGTGAGGCAGTGGTCAGGATATGTTCAGTGTTCTGTATTGTAGTTTCAGGGACTCAAAGAGAAGCCACTTAATAGGTGAAAAGTTGTACTTCTGTGACTGGCAAATACAGAGTCCCTACCTAATGGGAAGGCTGTCCTGTATAACAGTCATTCTGAAAAGGATATAAGTGTACAGCGGAGAGAATACAGTATGTACTCTTGGACTCATGCTGTAGCTGACTACACTGATTTGATCTTGAGACGTAATAAAGTAGGAGTAAGAAATAATAACGGGGTATCTCTGAATGACACAGGCAACACTGATGCTTGCATAATCCTCACACTTGCTGTACCTCTGCTTTGAAAAAGATCTGGAAAATTTGCAGAAGAGAATATTTGAGATTGGGAGACTTACAGAGCTTGATCCATTTCTTTTATTAAAGAGCAGGTGAGAAGTAATTTGATGGCAGCATGTAAATAACTTAATGGGAAGAAAATACTAGGTTCTAAAGAGCCTTAAATCTAGCAGGAGAAAGATTAGTAGGGGACAGTGGTTGGAAGCTGAATGAAAGATATTCCAGTTAGACATGAGTCAGGCATTTTCAGTGCTCAGGTTGGTAACCACTGCCAAGAACCAGTATTTAGCAGATGTCAGAGTTGATTGCTTGCTCCTACATCAGGTTGTGTCCCCTGAATGTGCAGGCACGTGGGTGCTTGGACCTCTGGGGCTGTGAACATGGCACAAAATCATCTGAGACATGGAGCTTCTGCTCTGCGTGTCGTACCAGTGACTGGGCCTGTCTGCTCCACTCCCCTGCCTGATGCCTCTGCCAGCAAAGTATTATAAAAAGAGAACAATTTTTCAAATCTCAGTAACAGCCTATGTTAAAAGCTAGCTGATGCAACCTCCACCTGAGCTCTGTTCCCAACAGTCAACTTGTCTCCTTCTGCAGGTGTGTTAGTAACACTGTGGATTATTGATCGGATAGGCCGCAAGAAAACCATGGCCCTGTCCTTTTTTGTCTTCTCGTTTTGCAGTCTTTTGCTGTTCCTCTGTGTTGGAAGGTAAGTAAAATACAATGAAAAAGTGGTACTGATTCATCCACGTTCTCTCTTGATTGTAGCAGAAGTGGAGGTTTGAAAATCTGTGAGTTGGTCGTGCTCAACTGGAGAAAAATAAGGATGATCTTAGGTTTTCTCACAAGGGTTTGATAGAAAATTAAAAGAAGTGGGAGATGAGAAATACTTTACTGTGATTTCACAGACAGAACAATCCAAAGGGGAAATTAAGACATCGTGTCTGAGCAGGAGGTAGCCATTGGACAGTTTTAAAATCAGATCTGATGTCATGAGCCTTGGTAGCTGGTTCACGTACATCTCCCGGTGCCATTCACTACTCAGGTTTTCCCCAGGCTGACTGTATAATAATTACCAGGGTAGTGCTTTACAACTGAGCCCAGTCTGTGCCTCCCATTCAGAGGCTCTGACCTCTTCACTTGTTTTTGTGGGCTCTCAGGGGTCTCAGTGCTACAGCACAATTATGTGAGAAGCAAAAGTTGCATACGACATGGGGGAGTGGAGCTTGATGTTGTCATTGCAGATAAGTGGGGCCTGACTTTAGAATAACTTGGTTTCACGTTTTCATATTGTTCAGCATCTGTCCTTCACACAGATTTCCCAAAGAACAAGTCAGTTGGCAGCTCTGTCCTTGGATCTTAACGGTACCAAATTTCTGGCTGAGCACTGAGAGTCTGCCTTTGACTGCATCAAGCCTGTGTCACATGCATGCAGCACTGTCTGTTTCTTGGGGCTGAAGAATAAGGAAACAAAAGCATAGCTGGTGGAGAGCTGTCTGAATTTAAACCTTTTCAGGCACTGTAAGAAATGTTACAGTACAGAAAATGCGTAATGAGAAACCTTACAAAGCTGCAAATATTCAGTTGGTATGGAAAAGGAAAGCTGCAGTCTGATTTCCTTCTCGTCTGTGCCTTTTTTTCTTTGCACCATTCATAACATGGGATATATTTTTCTTATTTAGATAAGCTTAGGCACTGGCTGTTTATTTCAATAGTCTGCAGCTGTCATTTAGAATGAATACACTTAGAAAACTGATGTGATTGTGGGAATGCACGTTGTTTGGCATCATTATTATATTAAAGGTCCAGAAAAAATAAAAAGGGTTCATTAAAAAACAAAAGGAATTGCTCTAACAAATTTAGCATTTTTTTATTGCACTTGCCTCCAAGTTAAACAAACAGATTGTACAGAACAATCCCAAACACTGCTCTCCTTTTTATTCTCGCAGAAATGTTCTTACTGTGCTGCTCTTCATTGCAAGAGCTTTTATTTCAGGAGGATTTCAGGCTGCTTATGTTTACACTCCTGAGGTAAGGAGGTTGATTTTGTAATGAGAATATTTAAGGGGAGTGAGAACATGGTGGGAAAGTCATTTTTATGACCTCTTCACAACGGACCTAACCCCAGATATGAGTTCACGATCTTGTTGTCATTGTCTAACAGAACGTGCTCTAGTGCCACTTATTAATTTCCATTGATTAAGGAGACAGAAGGAAGGGCAGAGAGCTGCCCACTTGGGTTAACAGCTTAATGCTTTGTTCACAGGTTTATCCAACAGCCACGCGTGCTTTGGGGCTGGGAACATGCAGCGGAATGGCCAGAGTGGGAGCCCTCATAACCCCGTTCATTGCACAGGTAAATTCCCTCCTCCCGAGGCTGATGGCACGGGAAGGTGATGGAGAAGCTGCCTCTCTGCTGCAAGGGCTGTACCAAGGGCAGTCTGTGCATGATGGATTGAAGGAGAGTTGTTGCTCATTTCCTGAAGAGAGTTCAGGCTCACCTCTGATTTTACCTCTTACTCCAGAGGTCATATGATGGGGAATAAATAACCAAGGAGCCGGCTGCTTCATGGATGTAAGGGTGGTTTGTGAAAAACATTGCAAAAAATAGGTCTTAAATAGGGGGAAGAGCACAACCCAGATCAAGAGAGCTCCTGCTGCAGTCTCCTTTCCAACCATATTCCCTGTGCTGGAGAGCACTGTAATGGGTTAAATTGCCACGGCACTAAAATTCATCCTACTACATTAGGATTTGCACTTCTTTCTGTGATAAGCCTCAGTAAGTACTATTTTGTATTTTCTGCCTTTTTTCTGCAGGTGATGTTGGAATCCTCAGTCTATTTAACACTGGTGGTTTACAGTGGATGTTGCCTGCTGGCCGCTGTGGCTTCCTGCTTCTTGCCCATTGAAACAAAAGGCCGTGGACTGCAGGAGTCCAGCCACAGAGAATGGGGACAGGAGATGGTTGGGAGAGGATCTCATTCCCCGGGAGTCACCAGGTCAAACTCTGGATCACAGGAATGATGGGACACGAAATCCTGGGGAAAGAATGGATGATCTGATCAAGATATGGTTCACAAAAGTCCAAGCCTGAAGCGTAGAAAGCAGACCATACTGTCACTGCCAATGTCATGTGTCAAACTGCAGGAACTTTTGGGTTGAGCCCAAGCAAATTGCATCTCTACTGCTCCTTGCTCACACTCATGAAAACTTTGCTTCCGTATTGAGAGGCATTTGATCCCGATACCATTTGAAATTTAGCAGGAAGGGTTTTTCTTAAGTTTCTTGTGCTTGCATGGTCAGCTACTCAGCTTAAAATGTCCCGTGTCAAGCAAATAGCTAACTGAATGCCACTCAGTATAAGCTGTAATTAAAATAATGTACTCTCGATGCCTAAAATCAAAAGATTTATATTTATTGTGTACCTGGCATAGCACACGGTGGATTCCATTCACTACAGGATAGGTTTTATGAATTAGATGCCTGCCTTGCACTTTTTAGCCATCGACAACAACAAAATGAGGTAACAGCAAACCAACCAATGCTTTCTAGTTCCCTTGCTTACGGGTTCTGCTCCTTGAGAATTAACAGGCACTGTAAGTGAGACTGCTTGGAATCTATCTCCTGAATGTTTCTGCCTCCCGAGGCAGGTAGTTTTGGTTGGTGAGGAGTGGTATTTGTTGCAGAGATGGAACCTCATATGAAAAATGTAAATCTTGATGGTTTGGAGCAGAAATTGACTTTTCTAACGTTGCCAGAAACACTGAGCACTCTGTTTGTTGCCTGGTGAAGACTGCTTCGGCTGTACTGGTGTCTCTGTGTGTGTGGAGATGCACGCTGTGTTTTTCTGCATGGGTCCAGGTCTGTTTCTGCTCAATTTGCCTAAGTATGTTCCCGCAGTGGTGTAGCCAGGCCCTTCGATCAAGATGCCTCCGTCGGAACAGCTGCGTGTAGCGGTTTGGATGGAGCCGCTTTCAAGTGGCTCCCAACAGAAGCTGGTCTCCTGACAGCTGGACTGAACTTCTCGAGAGCTGCAGATCGTACATCGACTGCAACGTCAAGCTGGTGACAAAGGAATGTACCTGGCATCATGTCATAAACATACAAAAATCCTGGGAAGAGCCAAACCGCGATCTTCCTTGGAAGAGGAGCTGCTCTCCTTCAGACGTAGCTAGCCTGCGGAGGTCGGTGACCCTGGAGAATGTAAAAGTTCAGGTGGGGATACGTTTGTCTTCTTTGTCTGAAATCTGTCACTATGCAGGGAGTTCGGTTTCAGAGTCTGTGGACATGCAGCGAGGAAATACGTAAGGAAACTGAGACCTGCCCTAGCCACGTCTCGGTTTATTTTACGGATTCCAGACTGTGGAACACACAACCAAATGTGAGCTGGACTAGATGCTAATCACTAGGCTGTGGGAAAGCAATACATTTTTGTAATACGTGTGGTCAGTTGTCTCACATAAGCATAGGTAAGTGTGCAACAAATTTTGCACAGTAGGCTATTTTACATATTCTGGGAACCAGGCCCCTTTTCTCTGGGGCAACAACAGGTCACTGAGTCCGTGTTTGGGTGCAATACAAATGAACACAGTTGGGGTTCACCTTTCACTTAGGGATTTGCAGCACTGTAGTGTGGTATAATGCTCTAAGACATGTTAGGCTGTCTGCTTTTAGCACGGAAGGAAAATCAGAAGTGGATAATTCCTTAAAGAAGCGGAGGAAACTCAGACTAATAAAAAAAAAAGGCCAAAGAGATTGTTGATATTCTGTGTTTGCGTATCTTCTGCTGAGAAAGGTTAAAGTTTGACAAGGCACCAGAGCGTGTGTCCACTCATTTACCAATGGATGATGGTGACTGCAGTGAGAGAGTCCAGAAGCAGTTGGTGTGAGCGGGCAAACTTTCCTTCTCACAGCTGTGAAAATGCAGCTTGGCTGTGGCTGAGGACGTAGAACCACCCTGTCCGTCCCCCGTTGGCTCTGTGTCGGTTCGGTTCGCGTTGTCTCTGCTGTGTCTGCGTCCCCTGTGCTCAGCCTCCAGCAACCTCACGTTCCAGTCAGTCCTCAGCAAACAGACGGGGCTCTCACGGAGCTGACAACCAGCGCAAGGAATTTGTTTTCACCTCCTTTTGTCAGGCTGTGGTTGGGAATTTTCCCAGTGTAAAACTGGGGCAGCTCAGCGCTGCCTCCGAGCACAGACACCCCGACTGGTTGCCCACTCGGGCGCACCCAGAGGCTCGTGTCTCTTCTCACCACGCATTTGTGCCGTTAGTTATGTTTACAGCACAGTGTACCCCAAAAACTGGAGGGCTTCAGGGGGAATTCAGCCCCCGTCAGAGGTCAGGGTGGATGCAAAGTGCAATCCGTGGCCTGAAGGAATGGCGCCTTACAGCCGAGCTGCTGCGTCTGTCTGTCTGTTACTGGAGGCCTTGGGGTTCAGATTCTGCTTTTCCAGTGTTAATGTTCACATAGCGCTTCATTTTTTCTCAGTCAATATTCAACAGCTTTAAAAGACTGCATTGCCGTGGCCTTCAAAACGTGCAGTCAGAGAGTTTTAGGGAAGTTTATCTATCTAATAAACTCGCACACGTGCATACTTCAAATAACATTTTTCCCAGGTACCGATTTATTGGTAATGCAAAGCCTTTTGATGCTGTTGAGTAGCTCACTTTTAACCTGTGACATTTACAGTATTAAAAAAATATATATATTGAAGGCATTTTTGCTTTTCACTTTTAACAAATTCTGCATTGAGAATGTATATAATGGTACGAGTGCCAAGACTGGTCCTGCTGGGACAGCTTCACGTTCTGGGTCTTTGATTTAAAGACGGAGATGCCTCCAGCATGCTCCAAAGCTGGGTGAGGTCTGTGAGGATCTCCACGGACATTCACGGGCTTTGGGCGAGCTGAGCAGAGAGCACAGGCAGGAGCCCACCACGGCTGACATCAGTAGGAGCCTATTGCACACGTAGGAAACCGAGGTTCAGGTTCTGCAGGTGCTTGGATATTATTAATAATGGGAGGACACTTTAGATAGTTCACCGAAACATGGAAGACCATTTGGCTTGATACACAATAGCCTAAAAACGATCACAAGTCATATTTTGTTAATATGGCAACACCATCGATGTATATAATAAGCTTCCAAAGATTGTTTTACACACCGTCGAGTATTTTTCACTGATGGAGGAATTAATAGAGCTAGTTCGTTTAAAAAAAGATAAAGTGAGATAATTTTGGATTAAAATTGAGAGCAAACAGAATTGTGGGATTCGGAGTTTTGCTAACTGTCCAATATCTTCATGTGCAAAGCTGTTGTGGGAAAATACTTCTCCAAGTGTGCTTTGATGGAATGATTCAGTATTCCTAAATGCTTGCCGAAAGAACATTGAATGTTTTCTTGTGTTTGAATGTACAGTTTCTAAGCTGGATACATTTTAATGTTTAAAAACTTTGTGTATATCAGGCTTGTTGTAAAATACTCCTTTTGTTCCTATGTTCCCGATGCGACATTGGATAGTTTAATTCCACACTCGATATTTTATGTTAAACAAATAAATAGTTTTTTCAGTAAAATTGCTGCTGGCTCTTCCATGGGACTTTTACAGAGGGTAAGTAGCTCCACTGGGCTGTTTGGTCTCGGCGTTCAGCTCTTTGAGCTCTGGGGACTCAGCCGGATGCCCAGAGGGGCTCAGAGCTCTGCAGACCTGGCTACGTCTGCGTGTTTTGTGCCTTTGGACCTGGAGGAAAGCCACAGGAGCCCTGTCTGCCTTGTACGTAACCTCACAGATTACTACAGCTAAATAATTGAAAAATTATCTGACAATCTTCAGTTGCCTCTTGGATTTCGTTTAATTTGGGCAATAAAAGCCAGGCAGCTTTGCTCCTTGCCTGGGGGCTGTTCTGGCACTGCCTTTAACGCCGCGACGCACGGCTGCGCATCACACGGGCACGCAGGGAGGTGGCTGCGCGTATCTGGACTTTGGGGCAGGGAGGGTCCTTTCTGCTTGTTAACTTTTTAAATGTAAGCTTTTATTTTACCTATCTCGTTGTTATAAAATCAAATCAAGCGCATGGCCCCGTGTTCCCCTGCCCTTTAAGTGATGTTCTTGTTTTGAAGTCCGGCACTTTACAAACAGGAGGTTGCTCACGTCTGAGTCAAAACGAGGATCTGCACGTACTTTGGATGCTAATTCGGCTCCCGTCCCGGCGTGCAGTAACCTTCCCTCTCTGCCACCGACAGTCCTTTGGGATGAAAAGTCGCATTTCTGGGAACGGAAACAGCCGGTAACTGCGGGAGCGATCGCGTTGTAGAAGCGATGCTTGGGGAGAATATTCATTCTTTTGTGTTTGCTGTGATTTTTTTGGCACCCTCAGCCATTTCTGAAGCTTGTTCTGCTTTCCAAAATGCCAGAGCTGCTGTTTGCTTACAGAGGATAACTTTACTGATACTTGATGTATTTCCAGCTTTGTTTTGTGTCACAGGCAATCGTTGTTGGGAACTGTGAGTTTGTAAAATGTGCTGATGCTGGCCTCTGGAGATGGCATTTTTTTGCTTATCCAGGAAGTTTTTGCAGTAGCTGTCCAGGCTTCCCACTGTTTCTCTCCTACCTTACTGTGGCTGCAAAAACAGACATAAATCTCCATGACTTCTACCCCGCCGTGTTTCATTTGTGGCTTCCAGCAGCGTAAAATACCCGTCCTGTGGCTCTGGTCTCCAAACACAGCGATCAGCTGAGCCGAGTGAGAGCGTCCCAAACGTTTCTGTCCTGGTCTGAGAGTTTGTAGCGGGCCGGGGGCTATCAGCAGCAACGTGCAGGCAACCACATCACTTCACACCGGGGTATTTTGGGTTCAAATGTCCACTCAGAAAGTGAAATGATGGCTTTTCCTTCCACGGGGTGAAATGTTCAGGAGAAACATGCAGTTAAACACCAGGGAGAGGGAATGATGATCTGCTGAAGTGTTTCTATGAAATCAGCATTTGAGGCCCAACCCGTGCTGTCATTAATAAGAGAAAGCATCACACAGGAGGTGTTTGAGTATGACCTTTATTGTGCACACACATTAAATTGTGACCTTTTAGCAAATAAGCACAATTAGGCTGCAAATAAAATTAAACACCTAATCATTCCTGCTTGTTTTCTGAGAGGCTGTGTGAGATCGGGTTTGTCTCCTGGCCCACGCAGGACAGCTGCTCCTAACGGCTCGAAGATCAGAGGAATCAAAAGCTTATTGCAAGCTCGCTTATTGCTTACTGCTACCCCCCTGCCTCCCGAGTGTAACTCCCGAATTCGGAATGAATGAAATGGAGCGGATGCTATGGCACTGAATGGCTTTTACCACAGAGGCACCGCAGCCCGTTAAGTTTCACACTAATCAACGGTAAATTTTCTCCATCTATTGTCATCTATCCTTTCTATCACATCCATCACGTCCATCACTGTCCTTTTCTGGACTGTCACCCTCCGAATGTGGCTGCGATCTATCAGGTGAGCTGCCGGGTGGAGCGGGAAACCCTCCTGGCAGAGAGGCCGGACACCACGGGGGCTCCTGTTTCTCCTGTGTCTGTGTTTTTTTTTTAACAGGCTGCAGAGGTGCACCAGCTACCGGCGTCAATAAGAGGCCAAGCAGTTAAGTGCTGCCCTCAGCAGAGCTTTTCAGGGCATTCTGACTTGCAAAGTGCACAGTACGGGCAGTTGCACGGTGCTTGGAGGAAAACGGTGCCACGGGAAGGTCTCCCAGGGCACAGCAACCTCCGTGGTGCTGAGATGAGCCCCGATTGTGCCCATGGGGCACGGATCTCTCATGTGCAACCCACCCCAGCAGCACGGAGTGCTCATCACCGCTCTTCTCCTTGGGGAACCTGAAGCAACTCATCGGGAGTTGGATCCTTCGGCAGAGCACAGCGGTGCCCGGGCTGCGGCCACAAAACGAGCCCTTCCCATGGGCTGCTTCGAATCCAGGGCCCCAGGAGGCGAAGTGAACCCAACTGCATGGCAGCTGCTCTCATTCACTGCCTGGTACGTCCCCAGCCAGGCTATTTCTGGCATCCAGGGGGAGAGGAGCTGTAGCAGAAAGGAGCAGGGAGCCGGCTGGGCTGCAGAGGAGAGCAGAGCAAGGCAGGCACTGGGCTTAGGATCACCGCCTGCCTTTGGGTTTGAGGCTAACGCTGCTCGACCCTTTCTCTTTGTGAAGTCTTCGGAGCAAGAAAGGCACCCGGCACGGGAAAACTGGCAGGGCTGACCCTTCGGAGAGCTGCCCCCCATGCCAGCCCCCCCCCCGGCTGCAGCGCTGCTGCTCCGGCCCCGTCTCACGGCCGAAGGAGACGAGGAACCGAAGCGCCCGTGGGAGTTTTAGGGCCAAGAGCGGCTATTTTGCGTATGCTCCCTGCTATATATAGAACCTGGCAAGTACGCGGGGCTGGAACATGTTGCTTTTGTTACTAAAAACATCATCTGGAAAGCCCATTTTAGGTCACTGCTGCTGCCTGTTGCCAGCTACACTAACCAGGTGCCGTAGGACCCGTGCTCGGTGCTGGCATTAAGGAAAGCTGGCGGAGCCGGAGCACGTGCCCTCAGAGCGGTGGTCACTTCCCTGGGAGCTCCACAGCTTCTTCCTACTAAGGAGCTTTTGCCTCCCGGGGGGAGCCTGCAAATCTAATTAGGCTCTGGGTGTCTGGGCAGTCGGTGAAGACCTCGGGTGGCACCGGCTTGGTTTCAGATCCCGTCCCGGATGGCAGGACTGCCAGGATTGCAGCCGAACCCTTTGCAGACTGATCCCCGGGACAGAAGTGCACTTTGCCACAGATAACGAGTCCAGATTTTAAAGCACTTCCTTTAGGTAGGGCGTGCGAGGCCACGGCGGAGGAAATTCAGCCATCTGGCTAATGGCAGCGACAGAACTGGCAGCAGCCCGAAAACGAGACACCGGGAAGCGGCGCCGAAGCTGGCAGGAGGGTCGAGCAGCCCACGTGTGCATCACCACCTTATTTGCATCTTTCTGCTGTGATTTCTAAGCTACTGCTGTCACGCTAATCCCGGCTGAGCAGGCAGCGACTCACAGGTGGGACTGGGGCGGTCCGGCCAGCTGCTTCTCCTGCAGGATGCTCCCCAGCAGCCTGGCCGCTGCCATGGCGCAGCCCCAGTGGATGGTGATCCCGAAGCCGCCGTGCCCGTAGTTGTGTATCACCTGGGGAGAGGAGAAGGCGTCGGGGCTGTGCTGGAGCCCCTGGAGCCGCTGTGATGCCCAGGAATATCCCGACTGAGCACGAGGTGCTGGTGCCTGCACAGCGCCTGCTCCTGCCAAGGGAAATGACTTTGCTTCAGCTGGAGCCCATCTCGCTGCTGGGATTGATAGCTACACCTCTCCTGCACCAAGGCAGCGGAGATACGATGTGCTGATACAGGAACGGAGCGATCCGTAAATTAATTCACACGCGGCGCTGCTTTGAACCATGCTCTGGGCTTTGCCTGAATACACCAAGTCCTTCCCAAGCCTCTCCAGCTAAAAACTGAATATATTTTCCCTACATTTAATTACATTTTGCAGTCACCATCCCCTTTGGAGCTTTAATCTCTTCTTCAAAGCTATGGAGAGCTACATATGCAGGCAATCAAACCAGGGATTCCCTCTGCAGCTCTGCTGCTGGGCTCTCAGACAGAAGCGCCAAGGAGCGATGCGGTCCTGCACCAGCAGGCGCTGAGCTGAGGGTGCAGGGACCCACAGCACACCGAACTGAGCCATTCCCAGTCTCCTTCCTCTTAAAAAAGAGACATTAGCAGCGCATCGCCTTTGTGCCTGAAGCAGACACCCGGCCTTACCTGTGCTGAGATGAATTTATCAGCCCCCCAGCAGCCACAGCCCCACGGGTGTCTCTGCCTTCACCACGATCCCTTTCGTGCTGCCCGTTTTTTAAAGGAGACGTGGTGTTCCCAGGCACAAGTGCTGCACGCAGAGGCTCCCAGCAGAAAATCAAATCACACTGCCACAAACACCGCCAGCACTGCACGGCTCCCGTGTGCCTCGTGGTTCTGGGAGCAGCAGGGCCAGGGGGCTTGGCGCCTCCACGTTTTTCTCCCATCTCTTTTTTAGTGTCTGAATTTGTGAAGCTCCAGCTGCAGCTTTTTCTTTGGCAGGAGCACTCCCTGCCCACTCTCCCCATAAAACCCTTTAATAAATAAATAAAGAGATAAAAAGGGCCCAGGGATTTCCCCGTTACAAGGGGGAGGTGTCACGAGGACCACCGACGGCAGGGCAGCGTGGCTGAGCGGGTGCTGATGTCGTGCTGTGATCAGCACATAATTAGCACCGTGGTTAACGATGTTCAGCACTGGGGGGCTGTGCACCGTACCTCTGCCTGCGAGTGCCCGTGGCGGAGGGTCTCCCTCTCCAGGCGGACCCTGGGGCGCGCCGGTCTCAAGCCGCTCCACTCCTCCACGATCTTTGCTTTCTGAAACCAAAAGCCCGTCAGCCCCTGCCCGGCAATCCTCCTCGTTATGCAGCTGGAAGCACAACGGGGTTACAGAAACCCCGCCAGCTCCCCTGGCTTGCTGAAGGCAGGCGGGCACTGCTGATGGGAAGATCCAGATTTTGGGGGCTTGTCCTCAACGCCCGTGCCCGGTGCCACAGTGTTGGGTTGGGGGCACCCACCTGGAGCGAAGGCAGCAGCTTGCAGCACCTCTCCCAGATGGTTTTGTGGTCCTGGGCGCTGTTCTCTTCGTTCCAGTTGCCTGGCTGGAATATCCCACCCAAAACCGTGAACTCACTCCTGCACCAAGAGCACAAGGCAATGAACGGGTCCCCAGGGGTTCCTGGTGGGGTCAGCAGGCAGGGATTCGGTGTGGGTGCGATTTTTGGGGTCCTGCCATGCCCCGAGCCTGCAGCGTGCTCCTGCCTGAGAGACCCTGGTGCCAAGCAGGCGAGAGAGCGGTGCCTGCGTGTCTGCTGCCTTGCCACAGGTAATTAGCCCGAGTCGTTCATTAAGCACTATCAGCACCCAACGGGCCCATGCCTGGGCAGAACAAGTGGCAGCCTGCGCCAAGGCCCCGCCGCCCCCTGAGGGAGGAATTTCTTCCTTATATCTACCCTAAATCTCCCCGCTTTTACTTTCTAACCTCTCCCCCTTGCCCTGTCGCTATCCCCGTGCCTGCATGCAGGAGCTGGCGGCTTCCTTTGGGAGCCAGCCCGGTGCCCGGCGGTGCCAGCGCCAGCAAAATGCACCCGGGGAGAGGAATCGCCGTGCAGCTGGGGCTGTGATAAGCAATCAGCTTGGAATACTTCGCTTGGGAGCTGCGAGCATTCAAAGTCCCTATTTACCTAATGGCTCGCTGCCTAGCCCTGACACAGCAGCGCAAGAGGAGGTACCAGAAACGCAGCACTCGAGTTACAGCTTCAAAACCCCTCTCTGCTGCCAAAGCCGCTCTCAGGGGGCAGCAGGCAGGATGGGCAGCAGGCACGTATTTATTCAGCCTGCAGTTTAGCTCTCTGAGCGTATGATGCCGTCGCACAGAGATCCCTGCTCCCCTAAGAAAGCCCCTGGTGGGAGGCAGGCGGGCAGCGCAAGGTAAGTGCCGGGAGCTGGGCTCTGCCTGGGCACTGCCACTCTACAGTTTTGGGATGGGTTTGGTCCATGGTAGGGGACAGAGGATGGGGAAAGCAGGGCTCTGGGGAGCTGTCTGCTCCGAGCAGCCAGGCTCCCTCATGCCCCAGGCTGGAGCAGTTTCCCTGCGGGCAACCTGAGCCTTTTTTGAGTGCCCTCATCCTCCTGCTCTCCTCCCACGCAGCAAATAAAATAAAAGCAGCATCAGGCCAGGTACAAATCCAGGCCGGGTTTATACGGCTCAAATCATCTTGTAGGGCTGCTGTAACGAGGGCTCTGCGGGGCAGATGCCAGCAGGGAGCCGCGCTGGTGTGGGTGCTCTGCGAGGACCAAGCACTGTGCCGCTGCCACCTACCCCGGGATGACGTACGGAGAGCTGTAGATCCCCGAGTCCATGTCGTGAGTGATGACGAAGTGCTTCACCCACGGGGCCTGCACCTGGGGGAGGAAGGCAGGAGGTGAGGGGGGAGCGGGGTGCCCGGCCAGGGGGATGGACGTGGTGCAGGCGCAGCCTCACCTTTAGGACCTGCCCGCGGGCGGGCTGCAAGGCTGGGTCTGGCTGCAGCTCCCCGGCACGAACCCCGGTGCAGTTGATGACCACATCCACGCCCTGGGCAAACATCTGCCAAAAGACAGACACGGTGTGGTGGGCAGCACGAGGCAGCGATGCTTTCCGAGGGTACTACCCCAGGGGGCTCCAGGTTCCTGCACCGTGGCCACACCGAGCGGTCACTGCAGGATCCAACACAAGCAGCAGATCCAGGGCACAGCTCCCCTGGCACGGCTCCTGCTGAGATCCCACAGGTACAGGCAAGGAAAACGCTTGCAATTAAGGCAAAGAAGTCCTGCCCCTGCCTGATGGCTCCTCGCTGTACCCCAGCCAGATGCTTGCTGTGCTGCAGGGCTGGGTCAGGGCAGAAATCCCTGCCCCATACCTCCCAGCATCACACCCTGTGCTCCCCCCTCCTCTGCCACGGCCCCCATGCCCAGCTCACCTCCTGGAAGGAGCCGACCTTCTTGTGGAAAAACTTCACTCCCCTCTGTGCCAGCCTGGAAGAGCAAGTTCATCTGTTGCCAGCAAAGAAAAGCAAATGTACCCTCCAAATTAGCGCCTGTAATTGATGCCCGGAGTCGGGACGGCTTGTTGCTCCTTCTAATAAGCACCCGTGGTCTCCTCAGTGGTTCCTAGATGGTCTCCAATTATCATTAGCTCGTTTCCCTGCTGGCCTGGAGCACCCGCTGGCTCGGCAGACTGCAGAGCGCCAGGGCAGCACCAATTCTGCACTCACCTGTTGGAGAGCCAGGGCAGGTAGCTCCTGCACTCCAGCATCAGCGCCGTGTTGAACCAGCCGTAGCTGCAAGCAACGAGGACAGAAAGTGATAAAAGCCCTCAGCAGCTTCCCCAGGGCGGCCACCCCCTGCCCCATGCTCAGGACTCGAATCCCCAGGACACAAACCGGTGCTATTTTTCCCCCAGTTTACAGTGTTAGCACCTCCTGCTGATTTTTTTCCCCCCAGCTCAACCCCATCTGGCATGGTTTCCCTGCATCCCTGCTGTTTTCGTTGCAGGGACTCCCACCTATTTTAAGGGAAGCAGCTGCAACCAAGCCCAGCTCATTTCCCCTACGGGGCCGGCAGAGGAAAACCCACCAGTGACCCTCTGGAAACGGGACAGAAAATACCTATAACCAGGGAAGAGTTCGAGCTCCTTCGGTGTCAAGTTCCTGAAGCCCAGGACAATGTTCTTCCAGGACGGGTCCTGTGGGAAGGGAAAAGGCCCCGTGTCATTAGGGAACCTCAACCAGCCGGCAGTGCCACCACAGCAGGGAAAATAGTGTCTGGGGGGGGATGTCCCCACTGCCCAGCCCCGTCTCAGGGCATCCCGAGCGCTGCTGTGGGCAGCGAGGCTCTGCCAGCCTGTCCTTGGGACAAATATCGCCTTGAGGGAGCCAGAAAACACCGAGTTCCAGGTGAAGTGTCACAAGGCAGAGCCTTGTCACAAGGCAGTCCCTTACCGGGATGGGCCGTGTAAATAAGTTGTAGCCCGAAATGAGGAAAAGCCCCATCTCCTTCGCCTCTGGCGAGCTGAGGTACCCCAGCAGGTGGTCGAAGGTCTCCTTGTTCCACAGCCTGTGGGGAAAACATGGCAGCACCGGCTCCACCTCCCCACAGAGCCGGGCCACCACCGAGCCACAAAGGGGAGAAACAACGAGGTGGGGACGGCCCCGGAGGGACATCGGGGACGATGAGGGCTGTGTGAGCTGACTCACGTCTCCTGCAGCTCGCCGTGGTCGCTCAGGTAGGGCTGCCACAGCCCCGCCGCCCCGTCGCTGGTGGTGTGTGGCGTGAAGCGATCGGCGTAGACCTCCAGCTGCAGGCAGGGCACCAGGGGCTGGAAGCGCTCGTGGATGCACAAGGCGGTGGACAGGCCGATCACCCCGGCCCCGATGACGGCCACGCGCATGGCTGCGGCCCCTCTGTGGTGAAATGGGGGTGGAAAAAGCCCAAAAGGTGGTGCTGGGGCCGGGGCCATTGCTGGGGGTCCTCACAGCTCCTCACAGGAGCTTCCCGGCCCTGCAGCACGGACGGAGCCCCACGGACACAGAAACCGGCCAAGGACTGGTGCCACGAGGGAGTGGGGGTGAAATGGGGCAGGATTAATAAATTCTAGAGCACGGTTTTATTTCTGGAAGCACCTCTGTGGCGCAGTGTGCCTGGGCTGGGATGAGTCCCGGGGACGGGAATCGGGGCTGCCTCTGCTAACCCCGGCCCCGCAGCACGAGCTGGTGAATAAAACCCAGAAACACCCCATTTTTCACCGACTTACCTGCCGAGCAGCCCCGGGCAGCCCCTGCAGTTTTCAAAGGCTTTTTCAGCAGAAAGGTTTGTTTACAGCACAGCCAGTCCAAGGTCCGAGTGCCAAGGGCTCGCAGCCACCCCCCTGCACTGGGCAAAATGGGGCCAAAGTCTTCAGTGGGGACCCCGGGAGGTGGAGGCCCCCCTGGCCCTAGAGGCCAGCCCCACAGCCCCTCCTCTGGGGTCACCGTGGTCTGTGGCAAAGTGCCGTCATTGCCACGTGTCACCATGGTGATTGCAGGCTTGGATGGGAAAAAATGGGAGCCTGGCAGATGGGGACACGGGGGACGGGACGCCCCAGCCACGGGATCTGTGAGAAGGGGATGCTTCAGCCTCAAATTTTGTGTCGTAAGGGAGAAAATAGCGTTGTCTCTCACCAGACAGACCCCAGGGGCTGTGCTGCCCAAGGCAGAAGGCTTCACTTCTCATTTTCTGGGCTGAAAAAGGCTTTTTTCCGTGCAGATACAATGAGCAGCAGCTGAGGCGGCCCTGGGAGCGCAGGCGGTGCTCGGGCAGAGCCGCCTGAAGCTTTTCCAAAGGAGGTGGTGAGGATACAAGAGACGGGAACAGATCTGCACAGGGCCCAGGATTTTGGCCGTGCAGCATGGCCTGGCCCAAACAGAGGGAATTCGGTCCCCAAAAAAAGCAGGGGAGAGCCACGGGCAGGCAGGATCTGGGCTGAGCAGAAGGATGGGGTCGGGGGGCTGGCGAGGAGCTGTAAGCCCCTGGGCTCATGCAGCTTAAGCACCTGGCACCTTTAATGCTTTTTTGTTAGCAGAGCGGCGTTCCCACACGTTTCTGCCCCAAAGCAGCGTTTTGGGGGCTGCCACCCTCCCTCCTGCCATGGGGTGAGCGCTGTGGGGCTCCGTCCCTGCCACCTGAACGGCTCTTGATGGTCACCGTGGGTGCAGGCAGCACCCAAGGGTCCCGCTCCCATGGGAGAAGCTCAGGTGCCGCCGGCTCTGCCCCATCGTCACCTCCTCCCCAAAGTGTCCCCAAAAAGGGGGCTGAGAAAAGAGCTGGATCCTCATCGAGACGTCCACCCCGAGCTCCAGGCCACCCTCACACCTCCCTGCTTTTCTCCGCAGCGTCGCAGAGGGGAAGAGGCAGCCATTTGAAGGCCTAAATTATTAAGGGCTTTGCATACAAGCAGCAAAGCCTCTTACACTAATTACCCTATTACTTGTCGGCCTCTTGCTTTTGGCTCCGCTGACCCCTCACACTTTCCTCAGCCCGGTTATCGAAGGGCTCCTTTCGGCTGTCCCGTGTGGCCGGGGCCCTGCTGGTGCTTCACCAGCATCGTCCCACCCCCATGACACCTCCTTGGGGTGGCTGGGACCACCGGAGGATGTCCTGTGGTTGTGTGAGTGCTGGGGGGACCCCAAACAGCCACCAGCAGGAGCAGCCACACAGAGTGGGATGGGCTGGTGGGGACCTTACAGACCCCTTACAGCCCCCAGCCCCATCCAGCCTGGCCAGGGCACCCCCAGCTCCTCCGGGCAGCCCACACCAGGGCCTCGCCGCCCCCTGAGCGATGAATTTCTCCCTTATGTCTAACCGAAGTCTTCCCTCTTCTAGTTTAAAGTCTTTCCACCTTGCCTACTGCTACACCCCATAACAAGGAGACCTCCAGGCCTTCTTCTCTTTGCATTCCTCTTCCCTTCCCCACCCCATTTCTTCCCCTTCCCTTCTGCATCCTTTCCCCTTCCTTTTCCTTCCCTATTCTTTCCCTTCCCTCCCCCTTTTCTTCCCCATCCCATCCCTTCCCCGTCCCTTCCCCATCCCTGTCTCTTCCCCTGCCCTTCCCCATCCTTTCCCCTTCCCCTCCCCATCTCTTCCCCTTCCCCTTCTCTTCCCCATCCCATCCCTTCCCCATCCCTGTCTCTTCCTCTTCCCTTCCCCATCCTTTCCCCTTCCCCTCCCCATCCTTTCCCCTTCCTTTCCCTTCCCTATTCTTTCCCTTCCCCTTCCCTCCCCCATCCCATCCCTTCCCCATCCCTGTCTCTTCCCCTGCCCTTCCCCTCCCCATCCTATCCTTTTCCCTTCCCCATTTCTTCCCTTTCCCTTCCCCATCTCTCCCCCTTCCCTTCCCCATCTCTCCCCTTCCCTTCCCCATCTCTCCCCCTCCCCTTCCCCATCTCTCCCCCTCCCCTTCCCCATCTCTTCCCCTCCCCTTCCCCATCGCTTTCCCTTCTTTATCCCTTCCCATCCCCATCCCCATCCCCATCCCTTTCCCTTTCTCCTTCCCATCCCCGAGTACCACAGACCGCCCCCCACTGACCCCCTTCCCCCCCTCCTCCACCCGCAGCACCCCCCACCGGCCTCTAATTACCATCACCCCTCCCCTTCCCCTCCTTCCCTCCCCTTCCCCTCCCTCCTTCCCCATCCCCTCCCCTCCCCTCCCGGCTCCTCCCCGCAGCGCAGCGGCGGCCGGGGCCGGGCCCGGAGCCGTGGCCGTGGCTGCGCAGCCGCTGGGGCCTGGCAGGACCCGGGCCCCGCCGCCTCCTCCTCCTTCGCCATGGCGCTGGTCACCCTACAGCGCTCCCCCACCCCCAGCGCCGCTTCCTCGGCCAGCACCAGCGAGGTGAGCCGGGATGGGGCCGGGATGGGGCCGGGATGGGGCTGGGAAGGGCTCCGGGAACCGGGAGGGGGCGGCCCCGGGTGGGGGGCTGCGGGGTTGGGGGCTGGGAGCCCCCCCCCGGGTGTGGGGCTGGGGGTGTGGAGGGGGCATCTGTGTCCCAGCCCTGCTCTGCCCCATAGCAGCTCCTATTCCCGCTGTGCCCCATCCCCACTGCACCCCATAGCAGCTCTTAACCCCATAGCAGCTCCTATCCCTGCTCTGCCCCATAGCAGCTCCCAGCCCCACTGTGTCCTGTCCCTGCTGTGCCCCATAGCAGCTCTTAACCCCATAGCAGCTCCTGTCCCTGCTGTGCCTCATCCGTGCTTCACCCCATAGCAGTTCCCAGCCCTGCTTTGCCCCATAGCAGCTCCCATTCCTGCTGTGCCCCATCCCTGCTTCACCCCATAGCAGCTCCTGTCCTTGCTGTGCCCCATCCCTGTTTCATCCCATAGCAGCTCCCATCCCCACTGTACCCCATTCCTGCTCAACCCCATAGCAGCTCCCGTCCCTGCTTTGCCCCATCCATGCTTCACCCCATAGCAGCTCCCATCCCACTGCACCCTATCCTTACTCTGCCCTATAGCAGCTCCCATCCCCACTGTACCCCATAACAGCTCCCATCCCGCTGCACCCCATCCCTGCTCTGCCCCATAGCAGCTCCCATCCCACCTTGCCCCATCCTTACTCTGCCCCATGGCAGCTCCCATCCCCACTGTGCCCCATCCCTGCTGCACCCTGTCCCTGCTTCCACCCCATGGCAGCTCCCATTCCTGCTTCACCCTATAGCAGCTCTCATCCCACTGCGCCCCATCCCTGCTCTGCCCTATAGCATCTCCCATCCCCGCTGTGCCCCATCCCCACACCCCATTTTCACCACAGGCCTTGTCATGCCCGCACCCTGCAGCTCCCCATCCATCCATCCCAGCTCTGCTGCGCTCCCCCATCACCCCAGTACCCCCACAACCCCCCTGCAGCCCCACTCACCCCTGTCCCTGCCCCATCCCTCGTAGCCACCATCGCTCCCCGCAGCCCCCACGTGCCGCCCGAACACACCCGCTGTGTTCTCATCCTCCCCACGCTTCCTTCTCGTTTTCCTATCCCGACTCTTGGGTGACCCCCAAAGACAGGCCCGGTGTTTCTCTCCAGATCCTATCCCTGCTATTTCCTCGCTGCCCCGCCAGGTAAACGACCCTATTTGTGCCCCGCCAGGTCACCGTGACCCCCAAAAAGCTGTGGGGTTGAGGGCTGAGAGCCTGCGGGCTGCCAGGCAGTGACTCTGACTCATCCCCATCCCTTCCTCCCCATCCTCATCCTCAGCCCTTCCCGCAGCTGCAGACACCGCTGGGCTGCCACCCAGTTGCCCCCAGTGCCGTGAGACTGGGTTTAACTGGTGCAGGTGGGGCAGGAGCCCGAGCTGTCCCGTACCCGCGGGAGGCGTTGTGGGGTGCGGGGGCTGATGGAGCAATTTTTGGAAGGGTGACCATGGGGTGGCATCGCCCCAAATGTGGTGGGACGCTGCTGCCCGTGCCAGCTCTCCCTTCACCTTCTCTGATCACACAAGGATTCGGGTACAGGCTCTCCAGGGTCGTTACCCTACGTGAATAATTACCGGGAGATTTATTTTTTTTTATTGGAAAGCGGTGACCAGATAAATGTTCCCGCTGACTGCGAGCGAGCTGCTGCAGCCTCTCCTCTCTCCCAGGCTGAAGGAATTCATAAAATGGATGCTGCTGCTCTGCGAGGGGCTTGCTGCCGTGTTATCGTGGCAGGCTGTAAATTTTTAGGGGTGTTTTATCTGCGGGGTGAGTGGATAATTCGGGTCAGGGAGCCCTGAGGGGTGCTGCTGGCCGGGCTGCCCAAACTGGGAGCTGCGGGAGGCAGCGGAGGGGAAACCTGGTGGCAGGGAGGGATGCTCAGCCCAAAGGGCAGAGCCCGATGCTGCCTGTGGTGCCGAGCTCATCATTCTGGGCTTTTTGGCAACGAGGAGAGGGGCAGCGGGCTCGAAATCGAGTCGGGACGATGAACCCGAGGCGGCGTCGGGGCCGGCCCAGCTGCGGAATCTCAGCTGGCGATGGTTGTGAGATGGTTGTGATCTCACGGCGGCGTTTGTTTAAAAAAATAAAAAATAAAACCTTGGCTCTCCGGCCCGTTGCTGTGTGACGGACCCAAACAAACAGGCCGGGGACCTGGCCCGAGCTGTGGGGGACCATGGGCTTGGGGGTTTGGGGTGCCGTGAGTGCTGCCCGGGCTGCGGCCGCGCGGTGTAAACAACCTAAAAATAGGGCCGGTATGATGGTATGTGTGTCCCTCCAGATCTCCCTCAGCTGCGGTGGTTTGAGATGGGATTTGTGTCTCTCTCTCTCTTCCCCCGGGTGTCTGACATCCAGGCCGTGTGGTTGCCTTTTGGGTTTTTTTTTGGCTGGGCACCGCTGGTTCTGGCAGGTCGCAAACGGGGCCGCTCCTGCGAGCTGCGACCTCCCAGATTTTGATTTCTAGGGGTGAGGAACAACCCGGCCCCTGCACACGCACACTGACTCAAAACTTTAAAACTTGAATGTTTTGCGTGAAGCTATTTGCTTATTTTTGAGTCCTGCAAGAACCACCTGGAAAGAAGTAACCCTGTTTGATGTGGGCTTTCAGCAACTGCAGTAAATAACAAAATGTTCTCCAGCTCTCCCCCAGGCTGTGTCTCCGAGCTAACGAGGCTCTGGTGTCCGGCGAGCTGCAAGTTTCCCTGAAGGTTTTTTCCCTTTTCAGAGCAATCCTTGAGGTGCTGGGTTCCCCGTGCAACCTGGCAACCTCTGAGGGATGCTCCTGGCCCCTTCTCCTCTCTCTGGTTACGCAGGGACAAAAGAGGAGAGCCGTCTTTGAGCTCTGGATGCAATTAGCCACAATTTTGGGTTTTTCTTTGTTAGGGAATTTACTCGAGAAGCTGCAGGAGGTGGCTGGGAAGCGAGGTTAGGTGGAAGTGCTTCTCTTGGAAATCCAGCTCGGCTCTTTTAAGGAAAATGCAAAAAATTTGAAGGCCCTGTCCCAAATCAACCAGCTCCCGGGGCGCTTGCAACCGGTGCCCGTGAGGGTCCCAGCTGGTGGCTGCATCTGGGGGGCATTTGAACTGTCCCCACACACCCCAAAGCAGTCCCAAAGTGCCAGCAGCTCGGGCCAGGCGCTGCTCGCACGTGTGTGTGTGCTCCTGGTGACGTCCAGGTCGATCTTCACAGCGCCGGGACCAGCTGCAGGATTATGCCCTAAGAGCCTTACCAGCCCCGTGAGCCCCTCTGTCACCCGGCAGCGGGTGCTGCCCGCACGTCTGGCCCGGGGACGGCCACCCCGAGCCCATCCCTGCTGCCGTGGGTTTAAAAAGCACACCTTGGTTTGGTTTTTCTTTATTTAACTCATCCCGTGGAAACTACCGGCGTGTAACTTGCTCTGTGTCCTTCTTTTCTCCCCGCAGCTGGAGGCTGGCAGCGATGAGGAGCGTAAATTAAACGTGAGGTAAGCAGAGCTCGTTGGCTCCAAGCATGTTTCCACTGCTGTTAATTGTCTCACAGCTCAGCCCTGAGCCCACGCACGCCTGCCTGGGGGGATTGCGGGGCCGGCCCTGCAGGAGCTGAGCCCTGGGGATGGCCCTGCCCTTATCAGTTGAAGTTTGGGACCGGTGTTTAAAGCGTAAAAACCTAACGGGGCCGAGTAGCTGTGTGGGTTGGCCACTCCAAATCCAGCTGCTGCGGACGGCGCTCACCCTCTAACCTGGGAACCACAATTTGGGAGATAACGTATAAAAAAAAATAACACAGCAGAGCTTCAGCGGGCTTGTTCCCTTCTGGTAGCTACTTCCTACTCCAATTTTCCTGCTCCAGATAAGAGCAAAGCCACTACTGCTGCTGCACGGGGTTTGTTCTTATTATTTCTCCTGGCCACTGAGAAGTGCTGCTACATGGATGTAAGGTACTGAGGTGCTGGTAGCCCCTCGAGGATTCCTTTCCATGCACGATTTTCCAGATAAGGATCTGATAATTAATTGCTGGATACGCCTAGAGAATAGGGTGGCTTTTGTGCTGACCCTTTGCAGTCCTCAGGGGGGGGAAAACGCTGCTGAGGGACTGCATAAAACCTGTGGCACGGATGCGGACCCAGCTTAGATGGTAAATGCAGCTCCTCGGTGCGGGGGCTGGATGGATCCCACCTCCCCTCCGTGCTGAGCTGCTCCGGGCTGGATCCCGGAGACTTTCCCCGGTGCCCATGGGGTGGCAGGATTGCTCAACTTCACCCTGCTGCTCCTGCAGCGGCTCAGGGTTCAGGTTGGCTCCTCCGAAATAAACCCAGGAGCAGGCTGAGATGTTATTTGTGAAATTTTAGCCCCTGGGCTGGGCTTGCTGGAGGCTTAGGTGACATCTGTGCTTTGCCCTGGGTGCAGGGGTCCGCGGTCCAGGGCCCGGCTTTGTAACCTCAGAGGTGTCCCGGTGGTTTTAGAGAAAGGAAGGGGTGTTGGAAAGCAGAGCCCAGCTTGCTGCCAGCTCAATCTGCACGTCGTTGGTACGGGATGAATGTGCTACTACACACTTACGGCATTGCTCCTCCATCCGCTTGCTGAACAGATTATTTTCATTCACTCCAAAAAATCCCAGGATTTTCATTCTGGGCTGCAGAGTTGGATCTGGTTATGTGAGCTATTGATTTTTTTTTCTCTCTGAAGCACTGGGACACAAACCACTTCTTCCAAGTTTTAGAACTGGCTGCACATTTTACTCCTCTTCGGTCTAAGTTTCCTTACGGTTTCTGTCATGCTAAAATGCCAAATTTTCGTGGTTTCCACGTGGAGGGAGCTGCCTGGAGCACCGGTGTGCTGCCGGGGGGTGCAGGACAGCCCAGGGTCTCCCCCTCCTTCCCAGTGCCATCCTCTGCGTCTCGCCAAGTCACTTTGTGTCCCCGAGCCCCTTTCTGCTCCAGTTCCCATCTGCTGCCTACAGCTGACATTATTTCCTCCTGCTCTGTTTTTTTCAGTGTTAAAACCTTTCGGTGGTAAGAGTCGAGGGTTTTCAGCTGCTGCTTTCAAAATGGGACTGCACTGCACCAAGGTCCCGCTGCAGCTTGATTGTATGGCCATGCACAAAAATGCTTCCTCCTACCTCAGCCTTTAACATTTTTTTTAGGGATTTCTGTTTGTGTTTCGCTGGTGGCAGCACTGAGCGAACGGCCGGTGGCTGTGTTTTGGTGCTGGGGAGGTCCTTGGGGGCTGGGGCAGCCTTCTCCAGGGTTTATTTGTGGGGAGAATTTGTTTTGGCCTCGACAGATCCCGCTCCCTGCTGCGTTCCTTGCCTCCCCGCTCCGTGGTGGGAGATGGCAGAAGCCGCTGACTTGATGGAGTGTTCAAAACAGGACGCTGAATCACATCCTGGCGAGGCTGCAGCATCCTGCCTTAGCGTGCTCCATACAATGGGGAGGCAAAATCACAGCCTGGTGACCCTCGGCCGCTTGCTGGCCGCTAGGTGTGGCCGTGGAAGCCGCTGGAGATATAATTAGGCCCTCGCTTTGTGCGCTGGGTTGTGCGGGGCCGTTCAAAGAGCGGGGAGCTGAGGAAGCCTGCACTTATTTGACACTCATTGAAGGCCTGGCCTTTCCAGGAAACTCTTGCTGACTTGAAGTTGAGCAACGCGATGAGCTGACTTGGCTGGAGGTGGGGTAACAGCAGCCGGCCTGCCAGCTTGCAGATGTGGTGATCAGACCCTTTAGGAATTGTATATAAAGCTTTTTCCTTTTTTTTTCCTAAAGCCTCAGCAGTTCGAGGCGAAAAAATACCACTGGCCCTGTTATCAAAGGTACTGGCTTTGTGCTGAATGATTTTATTATTATTTTTTTTTTCCTGGAAAAGGCCAGCGTGGTTGCTGTTTATTTAGGCGTTAAAGAGCCGGGTCAGAAAAATATTTTGGTTCCAAATGCCTCTTGATTTTTACATACCTTCATCTTTGATAATGGGTTGCCAAGATCTGTGAGTCAAGGATTTCTCATGCAAATCAGAGCTGTGGCCAGCCTGACAAGTGCTCCTAAGATGTTTTTGGAGGATGTGAAGTGCACAGGACACCAGCGTATAAACCTTGCAAGCTTCCCCCTGCCACACTAAGAGGGCAGACAGAAGGTTTGGGGGGCTCCAGGTGGCACAGCTGAGCCTCCCGTGCACCCTTTTTGTTTGTTTGGCAGAAACTGCTATTCCCTGAGTTACAAACCTGCCAAAACCACACCAGCTCTACCTGTGTTTCTCGAGGAAATCCACGCTGCAAGAATCAGAAATGAAGGCTGCAGGGGGATGCACGGTGATGTGCTGCTGACAGCCGGGCAGAAAACCTCTGGAGCTTAACCTCAGGTGGCCAAGGCATCCAGAAAGGCAGGGAATGGCACAAAATCTCCCTTCAGGTTTCCTGTAAAGCTGCCAGGTTGCTTGTTTGCCTGTCTGCCATCGCTTCCAACACTCCCATCCCCACGCAGACCGCTGCCTGGGGGGCTGCTCGCAGTGCCTGCGTGTGGGCATCTGCAGAGCTTTTGGGGCTGTGGCTGGCTGCTTCTCCATGCAAAGCCGATTTTAAAAGGTGGCCAGATTTGGAGGGAAGGGATAAAAAAACAAATGCTCCTAAGGTTTTACCAAGTTTTTTCCTTCTGCAGCTAGCTAACTCCCTGGCCAGCAGCCTCCTTGCTTTCTGGGGTGCTCCTTGTCCTCCAGGGGTGCCCCTCATCGTGGGGTACTGGTTGCACACACTCAGGGGAGCTGGGGAGGCTGGCTGCCCTCTAGCTAAACACTAGAGGGGGTGTCTGGATCGAGCTAGCACTTCTTGACCTGCTTTTACCCCGTGTGATCCGCTGAGATTTATTTTATTTTATTTTTACGCATTACCAATGTGTCAAGTACTCCCTGGTCTCCGCTGCCTTTTTTGGAGTCATTCTGAAACCCGGCGGCTAAGCTATTTTTTGGGTTGCTGCGCCGCTGTTGTCTGTAGAGTTTTCAGCCCTGTTTCCCATCCTGTTGCCTGTGTCCTGGCTGACCTCTGCTCACTGCGTTTGGAAGCTGCGTTCTTCACCCCCAAATCTGTTATTCACCTTCCTTTTCTTTTCCAGCGGTGCCGTTGGAGAGCTTCCACTTGTTTCTCTCGCCCGTCTCCGGGCGACGCTGCTGAGTGGGTGAAGTAGGGTGACTTAATAAAATAGTTTGAAGGATTAAAACAATGAGCTGACAGGAGGAATGCAGGAGGATCGGTGGATGTGCCGACAGCTCGGCTGGGGATGAGGACGGATGGGGGCAGGATCGGCTCCTCCCCGAGGAGCTGGAGGCTCTGCTTCGGATACGCCAGCCACAGCAGCTGGGATATTTGGGTGCTCCTCTTGCACCTCCCTGCACCGTTTGCTGTCTCCCCTGGCATCGCATGGGGGCAATCACAGCCACCCGTGGGTCCCAGCAAAAAGCCTTTTCCCAGGAGTGGAAGAAAGGTTTCTTTATTGCTGCTGGACAGGCAGGCTGAGGTTGGTAGAGGATCTGGCCGTGGCTATCGCAGAAATGACATCATGTTTCAGTGGGAATCTCAGAAATGCTCGCTGCGATCTGAAGCGTTAGCTCCAAGTCCATCGCATAGCTGCGTGATGCTGTGATCAGCCTCGTGCCTTTTTGAACTCTGCGATTAATGGGATGAGCAAAAAGGGTTTATTTTGTTTCCTTGTGAAACAATCTCTTATTTTATTTGGCCTTTCACCATCAAGTACTAGGGATTCCTAGAATTTTCTCTTTCCCGGCCGTTTGGGAGTTGTTCTGCTCGCTTATTTTGCGCAAGTCTCTGCTGGAACGGGGAGCGAGCCTGCTAATTTGTTTGCTTCCCTCTTCCTGCCCTTTCTCTTGGACACGGCTCCACCAGTTTATCCGGGTCACGCTCTGCACCGCAGCCACTTGATGTGCCGAGATGGAGCCGGGGTGGGGATGAAGCCGGGGTGTCCGTGGCCCTTTTTGCACCCTACAGCGTGCCACAGCCACCGTCTGTCCCCCTTGAATCTGCATGGGGCTGGGGTGAAGGCAGCTGAAGTGCCCTACGTGCACAGGGTGGGCAGCAGCGGCTGGAGGCACATCATTAGCAGTCTATTTATGCTAGGAAATTAGCTTTTGTGGCCTTCATGATTGATTTCATTTTTCTTTTTCCTCTTTGTGCCGGAGGAGAGTTTGTATCTGGCGCTGTGAATGGCCTGCAGTGTCTCAAACCCTTCTCAGCATTCTTGTGCCGTGAATGTGGCCCACGCCTTGCAGCCAAACAATACATGCTCAGACTCTCCTTTTTGTTGCTGCAGTGCTAGAAACATGAGGGGGAACCCGCTGGGTCTTCCTGCCAGCCCCACTGTCCCCAAAATGGATGGGGAGGTGCTTGCCCCAGCTATGGGGGCTGCTGCCCTGGTCCCCCTGGTGACCCGTTGGTGCCCCAGCTGCTGTCAGTGACAGAGATGTTCCCTGTGTGTCCGAAGGAGCT